CATATTAATGGAATCAAACAAAATGGATGTCAAACGTTTGTGCTGGTTTGTGCTGCAAAAATGTTTGTTTGTGCTGCTAACATTTTAAAATGTTTAATAAAATAACGTCTTGATGCGTGCTTAATCATCCAGGTAAGTAAATCCCAAAAGGTTGATTCTGTTCATCTGGACATTTTCAGTTGGAGAAACGTTTCGTCACTCATCCAAGTGACTTCTTCAGTCTCAGCTGACTGCAGGTTTCCCCAACCTTATAAACACCCGTGAGTGAAGTTGCCCCCCCTACCTTCTTCAAATCGAACAAAATTGATGTCAAACATTTGTCCTGCAAATTATTTTGTTTGTGCAGGTTATGTTTCCCTAATTTTATAAACAGTACATGTACAGTGAGAGAGAGATGTTACATCTGTCTTCACTTGCATCCCAGTCATAGAAGCGTTGGAGGTCGTTCATAAGAGATTACAGGATCATCCCAACCTCAGCAACAGGACCACTCTCAGCACTGATCAGTTGTGTTTGCTTTTGGAACTGTCTTAATTCCACCTATTTTGCATAAGGGTCAGTACAGGCAGAAATCTAGGTGTGCCATGGGTTCCCACAGGCCCCTGGTCAAAGTCACCAAACCAGTTCGTAAGCAGGTACAGGTGTGGCCAGAAGGGTCCTCAGAGGCACTGCTTTTCCACCACAGGCCGCCACACACGACAACACCACAGACTTTCAGGAATATACAGAAACTGTCACTGCCTACATCCCAAAATGCATCGATGATGTCACAGAGACCAGGACTATCACTGTCTGGGCCAATCAGAAACCATGGCTCACAGGTCAGGTTTAAATGCTCCTAAAGTTGAAAAATGCAAGCCTTCAGAGCCGGGAATTAGGTGAGTCTAAGAACAGCAAGGGCAAACCTGTCACGTGGCATCAGCTACAGCAAAGCTTCAGCGACAGCAGAGATACTTGGAGGCAGTGGCAAGGAATACAAACCATCACAGACTACAAGCCCACTCTACAGACCGTGGTGACACAATCCCCAGACAGTGTGTGGAGATCCCTCCACCATCATTACTGAACCCAAGAAGTCATCTATCTCCTGCTTTAAGGACTACCGTCCTGTCAAACTCACCTCCATCATTTTTAAGTTAAGTGCTTTGAACGGTTAGTCATGCATCAAATCAAATTATTGCTTTCCCCCAACCTGGATCCATTTCAGTTCGCATACCAGTCAAAACGCTCAACCGATGATGGAATTTCAACTGCCCCTCACTCAGCCCTCACACATCTGAACACTAGAGACTCATATGTCAGTGCTGTTCATAGACTTCAGTTCAGCATTCAACACCATCATTCCCCAGCAACTCATTCACAAACTGGATCTGCTGGGGATCAGCACCTTGCTGTATAACGGGCTGCTAGATTTCTTGACAGGAAGACAGCAGACAGTACGGGTCAACAGCAACACCTCCAGCCCAAGAACACGGAATACGGGGGCTCCCCAAGGATGTGTGTTGAGCTCCCTTCTCTTCACTCTGCTGACCCACGACGAGATCTACTACAGGGGTGAAGTTAACCATCTGCCAGAGTGGTACAGCAACAACAACCTGTCCCTGAATGTGGAGAAGACCAACAGTGACTCTACTTCCTCTGCAAACTGAGAAGCACAAGAGATTCAACCCCCATTATGAGCACCTTTTACAGAGGCACAGTTGAGAGTATCGTCACCAGCTGCATCACTGTGTGGTATGACTCCTGCATTGGGTTCTGCAGGAAAAAATGACAACGGGTAGTGAGAGCAGCCGAGAGCATTGTGGGGACCTCTCTTGCCTCCCTCCCCAGGAGATCTACTGCACCTGCCTCATCTGGAAGGTCGTCTCCATTACAGGTGACTCCACTCATCCCTTCAACAGCGTCTTCAGTTTGCTGCCATCAGGAAGGATACTGAAGAGCCTCCGGGGCAGAACCAGCAGACTGAGAGACAGCTTCGTCCATCGGGCTGTCAGGATGCTGACCATCTCTGGATCGAGAAGGGGGGCCCAAGGGTACATCTTTCGCCATCCTACAATGCTGTGATTGTAGCCATTCCCCACTTTCTGTGAATGGTACTCATGGCCATTGATCAATAGGCTTTGATTAGTTGTCATTGATCAATGGTCATAAGAATTTGCATACTAACAATCATGGAATTAACCCCCCGGCACATTGTTCATTCAGTGGCGCTAGTTTCCTTCACTATGCAAATGTACTGTTTATATGGTTGGGGAAACCTACAGTCAGCTGAGACTGAAGAAGTCACTTGGATGAGTGACAAAACGTTTCTCCAACTGAAAATGTCCAGATGAACAGAATCAACCTTTTGGGGTTTACTTACCTGGATGATTAAGCACGCATCAAGACGTTATTTTATTAAACATTTTAAAATGTTAGCAGCACAAACAAACATTTTTGCAGCACAAACCAGCACAAACGTTTGACATCCATTTTGTTTGATTCCATTAATATGGGGGGGGCTGGTTGACCTCTAGAAATTTTTGTTAATATCTTTAAAATAATAACGGCACAAACAAAAATTTCTGCAGCACAAACCAGCACAAACGTAGCACAAACGTTTGATACCACTTTTGTTGGATTTGGGTAATGTGGGGGGCTGGTTGACCTTTGACCTTTACATTTTCATTAATATCTTTAAAATAGAAGCAGCACAAACGAAAATTTTAGCAGCACAAACCAGCACAAACGTAGCACAGTTGATTGACACCCATTTTGTTTGATTTAATTAATGTGGGGGGGCTGGTTGACCTCTGATGACCTCTAGAAATTGTTATTAATATCTTTAAAATGATAGCAGCACAAACGAAAATCTTTGCAGCACAAACCAGCACAAACGTTTGATACCACTTTTGTTGGATTTGGGTAATGTGGGGGGGCTGGTTGACCTTTACATTTTCATTAATATCTTTAAAACAGAAGCAGCACAAACGCTAATTTTACCTGCACAAACCAGCACAAACGTAGCACTAAAAAAGTAGACCATTTTGGCCCGTTTTGGAGCAGTCTGGGGGGATGGTGACCTTTGAATGACCTATAAAATAAAGTTTAATATCTCGGAAACCGTAGCAGCACAAACGCTAATTTTACCTGCACAAATCTGCACAAACGTAGCACTAACCGCTCCGCCTATTTGCCTTTACGTTTCAAGTGGGTGGGGGGTCAGCTTCACTCTGCTACCTCCTAGTGGTTGTGACCCTAAACAACCACATAGACTGCATTGATGCATGCGCAATTGTCCAGGTAAAGAAATCTCAAAAAACTTGGTTCTGTTCCTATTTGGTTATGACGGTTTGCATATTAATGATCAGGAGACTGACCTCACAGCCCATTGTTCGTCAGTGGTGCTTGTTTCAGTCATTATGCTAATGTATTGTTTATAAGGTTGGGGAAACCTGCATTCAGCTGGATACTGACGAAGTCCCTTGGGTGAGTGACGAAACGTTTCTCCCACTGAAAACAAAACTGCAGATGAACAGAACCAACTTTTGGGGTTTCTTTCAGTAAGTCTCAGAAAATCAGTTTGGTTTCAGGAGAGGTTTCATGTTTCCTTTTTCTGTTATAGACTAAATTTTCCGGAAGAGGCCAAATCAAACAGAAAAACACGAAACTACTGAATCCATGTGCGTGGTTAAAAATTTCTTTGGGACCATAATCTTTTCTTATGAGGGCATACATACGGTCATATCATTCAGCAGAGGTCTGTACAGGATTTTGGCGGATTTGAGGATTAGCACTGCCTTGTGAACTTGTAGGCCTACTTACAGGTTATCAGTTTATGGTAACTTTAAGGTATCAATCCGTTTATCATTTTTTTTGCTCCTCATCCACGTCAACGTCATGTTTAACGATTAACTGATACTGTGAATGTAAGCGACAGCGATTTACAGCCCGAAAAGTTACATAAATATAAAATAATTACGAATCATGTGATCTTTGCTTAAAGTGGTGATTATTAAGTGATTATTAAAGGCGACGTGTTGCATTTTTTCTCGAGTTTGATTGAGGAGAAATCATCCTTTCAGGACGGCCAGGTGAACCACGCCCTGACAGCGGCGATGAGGATGGTGATGAAGGAATATCTGGTCACACAGCTGGAGCACCTCCAGTGACAGAAGCTCTGGTTCTACATTCAGCCCACAATGCCCATGGTGGAGGAAGTCTCTTTGGTCGTGGATCTCCGCTTCTGCGTGAAAGAAGTACACACGACCCCATGATATTTTAGTGAACTAGAGACCCTAATATTTGATTTACTTCCATTAGTTAAAGAATTAAATTGTTAGTGCGTTTATTAAAATAAATTATGTTTTCTGCTGTTTTCACATTATCATAAACAGTAGGTTGATTTATATTAATTTTTCAATAACAGATACTAAAACTAAAGCTAGTTCCTCTTATTTTATTTTAATTAGTTTCTTTTAGTTCACAAAACTTATACATAAGCAGACATCTACCCGGGTTCAAGTACAGTAACAAAAGCAGTATTGTGATTTTAGAGAAAATGCCTGTTTTATGATTGATAGATTTTTGCCAAATTGATTTTTAAAAGTAGTTATTATATTCCTATTTGTATTACAATTTGACTTTCAGCCCCAGCATTAAGATATTATTAACCTATTAACCTAATCTTATTTGAAATATTATTTTTGTAAGATTTTGAAACTTCTGCATTATCAGTGTGATTTTTTTCCTTCCTGACAAACATGAAGGAAGTAATGTTTGAAGAAGTAATGTTTGTTAACTCCTCCCAGAGACATTCATCTCGCACAATACATTTCATAAGCAATACTTTGCACAAAAGAGCCAAAATGTTACAATTTTTAACTAATATATGTGAAATTATATTTAATTTATTCTTTTATTTGTCAGAATATTCAATATACACTCCGGTTTAAATAAATAAATGCATAATTTTCTGGCTATTTTTGTATGGTCAGGCGTCACTGACCTGTAGGGGTCAGTGTGGCGCCGTCACTGCGCTGTTGGAGAAGAAGAAGAATTTGATAGTAGTGGGCGCGTTTGCTATCTGCCCCGGTGAACGCTGCAGAAAGGCGAGTGCCAGGTAGAGTGATGACTTCAGACTCTAGTTAAACCTGTAACGGGGCTTCATGTTACTGAGTTACGTTATTGTTTGCTTTTATGGCATTTCATGTTTCATTTGGCTCAGAGAGCTACTAGATACCATCCCCCTCTGTAGCAGGCTAACTAGCCAGCTAGCGTAAACAACTGTTAGCTCTGCATCACCACTGAAAGACAGGATGTCATAAACATACAGCCGTTAAACCCTCAACTAAGCTTCAGCTGATATTTGTCAGTGTGAGCCGGCAGCTCTGATGTTCATATCCATTGTGACCGCCTGAGCTAAATTCTTTCTCTTTCTTTCTGCCCTCTCCTACAAAATAAAACCTCTTTGTCGTTATAGCAGCTGCTGGAGCCATGAGCGAGTTCAGGATCCACCACGACGTGAACGAACTGCTCAGCCTCCTTCATGTGCGAGGCGGCGACGGAGCAGAGGGCTACATAGACCTGCTCCAGAAACACAGGACCCCCTATGTCACCACCACAGTGTCCGCGCACAGTGCCAAGGTGGGCTATACTGTACTCCACTGTGTTTAACTGCAGTGCTTTTCATGGCTCATCAGTTGATAATTTAGTTTTTAATTTGCATCTGTCCTCTTATCAGACACCCAGTCAGACTGTGTTTTTCTGCACTTGGCACCATAGTAATGTTTGTTAACTCCTCCCAGAGACATTCATCTCGCAATTAACTTTAGCAAAATTTCCAAATGCATCATTATGACCAGTAGTCCTTCCAGATTTCACATGTACTAATGAGTACAGGGAGTTTGGTGAGGAGGCAGAAGGAGTACTTTAAGATTCTTATGAATGAAGAAAATGAGGATAGAGAATGATGGGATAGATGGGGGACAGGTAGGAAATCAGGAAGTGCAGAGGATTAGTAAGGAGTAAGTGAAGGCAACAATGGATGGATCAAGGTATGTCATCTGAACCAAGGCTCTTGGTTCAGATGACATACCTGACATCCCAATGACAGAGTATTGAAGTTAATCTTGTAGCGTGAAAGGATGCCTGGGGAATGGAACGTATGGCTTCATACCAAGAAAGAGCAGTACAGATGGGATGCTTGTTTTGAGAATGTTGATGGAGAAGTATAGAGAAGTTCAGAAAGAACTGAACTGTGTGTTTTTGTAGATCTAGAGACCGTATATGATAAGGTACTAAGAGAGAATTTGTGGTAATGCATGAGGAAGTCAGGATTGGTTGAGAAGTCTGTCAGGGATGTAATCCCACCACCACCTTGAGCCCCTTTCTTGTTTGCAGTGGCCATCACTTCATCACTTCCCTAACGCTAAAGTTTTCTAACTTACTCTAAGTAGTTAAATACCCAATGTTCACAACAGATATGTTTCTTTGAATATTTTCTTCATATTGCATGTTGTGTCACTTTCAGGTCAAGTTAGCAGAGTTTTCTAAAACCCCGGAGGATTTCTTGAGGAAATATGAGGAGCTTAAGTCCAAAAATGTTCGGAACCTCGACCCTTTGGTGTATCTGCTCTCCAAACTCTGTGAGGACAAAGAGGTAACGCCTCATTTACATGCTGCTTTTCATCCGGTTCTTTTTGTCATTGAGTCCAAATATTTCTATACTTCCTGATCTAAAATCACAATTATTTCCTTATTATTAATGTTGAAAAGTAGTTTAAAAAATGTAATCTACTCTATGAACTAAGAAACTTGCTGATTTATGTCCCTCCATCAGAGAGTTGGTTGATAAAATACTTGAATCTAATTTTGCATCCCTGCCTTGATATTTTTTTTGCAGACCCTCCAGTTTCTGCAGCAGAATGCTAAAGAGAGGTCGGAGTCTTCAGCAAACACCACCTCAACCACAACAACCAGTTACTCTCTGCCTCAAACCAGCACCAAAATGTCCATGCAGGAGCTGGACGAGCTGCGTAAGAAGCTTGGCAATGTAACAGCGAGCTCCAACGCTCCTCTGGTGAGCATCTCTTACCTTCAGATCATGTTACTGGTCTGAAGGTTAGATTAGCCTGTGAAACTCTACAGGACAGCTTGGAGCTAAAATAAGTTCAGCTAGAAACTTAATCAAGATAGGATGTATTTATTGGTTTATTTTATATGTGGAAACAGGTTCAGACAATTTTTGTTCTTTTGGCTCTGTGTGATGTCAAAGAGAGCACAAAGTTCCAACCACCTGCTTGTCAAATAATTTATGAGGGGCAATCACTCAGAGGAAAGTGGGTGTGAAGATGGAGGCGCTAAAACAGTTTGGTTCAAATGGTTAATGAGCTGTGAAGCTGCACAAAGGCCCAGTATAAGATAAAGAAGGCTTATTTTGGACTGTGAGTCATACAAAGCTACTCTCTGGAGTCCTACAATGAAGATGAGTTGGAGGTTCACAGAGATGGTCCTTTTTAAGTTTCAGAATTTTTGTTCATAGAGCTATTCAGGTTTCTTCTTCTTAAAGTAGATCAGATCAGAGATGGCGAATCTCTGGTTAATAAGGGAGATAAAGAGGTTAAAAGAAGCTCTCATTCACATTAGATTCGCAGTGTACTTCACATAGGAGTGATTAGACATGCACAAGATTTGTTTTTGGCCACTTGGGCTCAGCAGAAAGAACATCACAGCTAACTAACCTGAATTTGCCTCATTGCATGTACTTTATTTGTAATGAAAAACTTCATTTCAGGCTTGGTGTGAATCCACCATAAGGATGTGACAGGGAACAAAAACTAAACAGTGAACTAACGTCATGAAGCTGTAGATCAGGTATAATAATAACATGTTATCATATAAAGGTTACCTGCAGTATGTCACTGTTTACAGAAACATCTGCTGGCATTTTTTTGTGAATAAAAAGCTGCCTTGATCAATAGTTTAATCTGAAGGTTAGAAGGGCCAGTCTATTGCTATTGATAAAAATTACATTAAATTTCACTCAGTTTACCATCTGCTGCTTTTAAATCCTGAGTTTCTTTGTTTTTGGAATTCGCCTACAGCCGGCTGAAGTCACACGGAAGATGCTGAGGGACAAACACAACAAGAAGAACCCCACCCAGCCCAACCCCGTCTTCCCCAATTGGGTGTATGATCGTCCAGCTCTCATCGGAGACTTCATCACCAGCCCCACCCCTCAAGGAGAACCAGCTGTTCCTGTTGGTAAGTTGGTAAATTTACACATTCACCTGTGCAGCATGGAGTCTGAATATAGTCCCCCTGTGCGTATTGATGTGGTTACTGTCCGTGGTCAGGTACGCTGCCTCTGGGGACGCAGGAACAAGCTCTGGTGGAGGATCTGCTGTTTGTGCTGATTGGAGTCGACGGGCGAGACATCACCGCTCAGCCGGTGCTGGGGCGGCAGAACCGCTCCTTCATCGTTGATCCAACACTGGACATGTCTGTCAAAGAGCTGGTCAACAGAATATTACCGGTCGCTTCGTACTACTCAACTATAACACGGTAAGAGCGTAGACTGTGCCCGGTATGAGCTACTGCTAACAGGCTTAAGTTCACAAATGCACATAATCACTAATGAGTTTTCCAGATGAACTACTGGGACCCTCAAGGTTGATGCAATGCAAAAGAAAAACCCAACAGCATCTCTTGTAACTAAAATGTTTATTTCACATCAGCTTTGAGTTTTTAGAATAACCTTGAATGGAAGCTTCAGTTACGTGACTGCAGTTAACAAAGCTGAGTGACTCAGCTGGCACTCAAAAAATCCACACCTCTGACCTTAAGCTTTATTAAACTATAAATGGATATACAAAGAAAAGAGAAGAAAATCATACTGTAAAGTTTTTAGGTTATTACATGAGGAAATTTGCTTTAGAGATCAAACAGTTTTTGTAGCTGTAAAGTTGGGAATTTTAACATTAAAGTCTTTTTTCAGCCCTCCAGATTTCTGCATGGGTAAAATTTCCAAATGTCTTAAAATGTGCTGCAGGCACAGGATAATGCAGATTTTTTTGCATTATCTTTGAAAGGTTTATTTATATATATTATTTAGACATCTGATCCTATGTATGATTTATATGTGTGCCTTAAACACAAAGTATATATTTTAATTGTTTATCTGTTGAAACCTTTTATCTATTTTCTGTTGCTCTTTCGCATTAAATTCATATTTAATGATCGATATCAATGGGAGTCTCAGTGATTTAGAGCTTGAAAAAAGTGACATAAATATCAAATAATTCAGAATCATATGATCTTTGCTTAAAGGGTCTAAAAGAGATTATATGTTATAAGATAATTAAAGGTGACGTGTTGCATTTGCCCTCCAGGTTCATTGAGGAGAAGTCATCCTTCGAGTACGGCCAGGTGAACCACGCCCTGACAGCGGCAATGAGGACGCTGATGAAGGAATATCTCATCCTGGTCACTCAGCTGGAGCATCTCCAGCGGCAGGGCCTGCTGTCCCTGCAGAAGCTCTGGTTCTACATCCAGCCCACCATGCGCACCATGGAGATACTGTCATCAATCGGTAAGAAACTGAAGATAACACATGGTCGTTGTTTGCAGGCATGATGAATTAAAAGTTGTCAAAGAAACATGGAAAGAAGGATGAGTTAGGGGCGCAGTGATCAGGAGTTGCTGGAGTTCTGGCACCATCCTGGTGCAAAAGGAGGACAAAATGCAAACCAGAGGGTGGAGAAAGTCTCTTGAGAATAGAGTGCTACTTCTCCTTTGCCAGAGTGGACTTGATTTAGATTTCTAACTTAAAGTTGTTTATCTCTGCTTCTGCATACCAGCACAGTTTATTGAATTACAAGCCCTAAAATTTCATCTGCTTCTAAACTGTCTTCAGATGTTGTTTAAAATAAGCTTAAAATGTTTAAACATATGTTTAACAAAGCAAATATTAAGAAAAAATGTTGATCTGTTGTAGAGATATAGAGCTGAATTTGCAGATTAGTGGTGAGGAGGAGTTCTGAATGTTTTCACTTTATAAACGTTAGTTTGTGGGTCACAGATCGTAGAAGACCTGCAGTCTAAGCTTCTTTAAATGAGCACCAGAGAGTTAATTTGACTGGAAGGTGATCTGACCCACTTTAGAAGAGAACATGGCACATCAAACTGGGTCTAGATTAACCAACGCTGAACACAAACAACACTGAACACTTTGAAAATGCCTGATTAGTGTGGAATCTCACCTATTATAAAACAGATATTTAGTTAAATTATGCTTTCTGTTGTGTTCACAGCGTCCTCCGTGGACAAAGGAGAGTGTATGGGAGGGTCCACGTTGAGCCTTCTCCATGACAGAACCTTCAATTACACCGGTGACAGCCAGGCTCAGGAGCTGTGTCTGTACCTCACCAAAGCAGCCAGCGTCCCGTACTTTGAGATCCTGGAGAAGTGGATCTACAGGGGCATCATCAAGGATCCGTACAGGTTCAGCTGCTCCCAGAGTTTCAACTCTGAAAAATGTGTGTTGTAAAATGTAAAGCTCATATTTTGTGACTCCACAGTGAGTTCATGGTGGAGGAGCACGAGCTGCAAAAGGAGAAGATTCAGGAAGACTACAATGACAAGTACTGGGATCAGAGATACACCATTGTGCAGCATCGGATTCCCTCCTTTCTACAGAAGATGGCAGACAAAATACTAAGCACAGGTAAAAATAGAACATTTAAGACTTGTTGAACATAAAATGGGAATCCTTTCGGCGATGTTGAGACGTGCTATCGTGCAGGGAAATATCTCAATGTGGTGCGGGAGTGCGGGCGGGACGTGACGTGTCCTGATGCTAAGGAGGTGCTATACACCCTGAAGGAGAGGGCCTACGTGGAGCAGATAGAGAAAGCCTACAATTACGCCAGCAAAGTGCTTCTGGACTTCCTCATGGAAGAGAAGGAGCTGGTCTCACGTCTGAGGTGAATATTTAATGGTTATTGGATATTTTGTGGTGAGAAGATAGGATGAGATGCTGTGTGACCAGTTTGTTCTGTTATATTTGACACACACACACACACAATTATTGTCAAGATTAAAACTGTAAATTTTGAAGTCAGCGTCTAGTGTTAGGGCTGGGCTATTTCTGTAGCTTCCAGTGATTATGAAAACAAGATAACTGGGATGAGGCGGTTACTGTTTGCATCCATTTTTGTTTCAAATCGCTTGTTTTGTCTCGTTATAATAACTCAAATATACCTTTTGCCTTCGCCGTGGTGCATTTTCAGCCCAGATTTAGTCACAGTTTAGTTCAGCTTATGCTAAGATGACTAAAACTGATACTTTGGTCAAAAAAGATCCCTCTAGAAAACACAAGTCTTAAACAGAGGTTCTGCTGGGTCTCTATTGTTCTTTGTGTGGTTACTGCAAAGGTTTCTATAGATGCTCAAGTTTTAATGACTTAAAATACAAGTGGTTAGATTTGATCTTAATCTAAATGTAAATAAATTTTTGACTGATTCCTGCTTGCTGCTGATATCACTGCTAGAGCAGATGACTATTATATGCTGCTACTGTCTTTTATTCAATTGCACAATACTATGTCACTTTTTCACTTTCACTGATAGCTAAGCAATTTATTTTTCAGGTTATATAGTTACTTAGAGTTATTTGATATTATATTCTGCACTATCCTACTGTATATTACTGTATACTACTATTCTTATTGTATATCTTATTCCTCTGTCCCTCTTGCTGCATTCAGCATGTGTATGACAAAAGAATTTCTTATCTCATCTTTTTATACTGTATATGATTTCAGTAATTTTTACAAATGTACGAGATTTAAGTGTAAACAATTTAAATCTGTCACATTTGTAAAAATGTAAACAAGCAGTTAAGACGGCTTTAATTTAAACCTGCTCTGTAAAACCAACCAGCAGGTGAAAAGTTCACTTTTCTTTATGTTTAAGCTTGTTAAACAGTCTGATGAAGGATTTCTTCCTTCATCATTCATGCGTTTTCTTTACTTGTGGTACCAAGACAAAATTACCATAGTGACATTAACGTTAGTCTGTTTGCTTTTGATGTGAAGTCAAAGCCAGTCGAACTTCCTGATGCACTTTTGTTTTGTGTTTTTTATTTTATGTTATGTTTAAGCCTATGATTATTTTATGAAGTGGTTTGACCATTTTCAAATGTCTGTTCTCTCTTGTGTCAGATCAATCAAGCACTACTTCCTGATGGACAAAGGAGATTTCTTTGTGCACTTCATGGACCTGACGGAGGAGGAGATGAAGAAGCCGGTGGACGACATCGTTCCTCCCAGACTGGAGGCTCTCCTGGAGCTGGCTCTGAGGATGAGCACGGCCAACACGGACCCTTTCAAGGATGACCTGAAGGTGGGGGAAGGCGTGTCTGTTTAGTTTGGATTGTAAAATGTGAACAATTAGCTGGTCTGACCTTCCTCGCCTGTCTCCACAGATCGACTTAATGCCTCACGATGTCATCACTCAGCTGCTGCGAGTGCTGGCCATCGAGACCAAACAAGAGAAGGCCATCATCAACGCTGATCCGCCAGACGTGGCCCTCAGCGGGCTCGAGGCCTTCTCCTTCGACTACATTGTCAAATGGCCGCTCTCGCTCATCATCAACAGGTTCAGAGCTCCAGTGGATCTTACTCTAGATAAATACATCTGAAGATATTTATTAATCTGTGAATTGTGATAAAATATAAAAAAAATACAAGCTGTAAAATAAAAAAAAATAAAAAATGAGATGGTTAAAACAAAAAAAGACAAAAAAATATTGGTTTTAGTTTGACTAAATTAAATTTGTTAAAAGTGGGAAATCACAAAACCAACCTGTTTATTTAGAAGAGCTAATGTTTGCATTATTTATCCAGGAAAGCACTGACGAGGTACCAGATGTTGTTCAGACACATGTTTTACTGCAAACATGTTGAGCGGCTGCTGTGCAACGTTTGGATCAGCAACAAAGACTTCAGGCAGTACTCCTTACACTCTGCCAAATGGTGAGCCGCCACGAATCTGAGGTGACTTCCTGTAAAAGTTTCAACCAGTAGAACGTTCTTACCTTTTGTTCTTACCACCTGTGTGCAGGTTCGCTACCGCGTTCGCCCTCCGACAGCGAATGCTCAACTTTGTGCAGAACATTCAGTACTACATGATGTTTGAGGTGATGGAGCCCACCTGGCACGTCATGGAGAACAACCTGAAAATGGTGAGTGATTGAAGAAGGACCCCTGAGGAGCACTGAGAAGGAGACGTGCTGGTTTCAGGGAAAATGTGATCTTAAGTTATTTTTCTTTTCTTCTTTCTGCAGGCTTCAAACATCGATGATGTGCTTTGTCATCACACCAGCTTCCTGGACAACTGCCTAAAGGACTGCATGCTGACCAACCCCGAGCTGCTCAGGATCTTCTCCAAGCTCATGTCTGTCTGCGTCATGTTCACAAACTGCATGCAGGTATTTCCACGACTGCATAAAACCAGAGATAATGAAGTCACAGCCTCAATAATGTAGTATTTGATTACAGCACTCTTTAATTTACTTTAGTTTCATGAATCAATGTATTTAAGCTTAAACCCTGCAAAAAACTGCTGCACACACATTTTTAAATTGAAGCGCTCATAGTTTGAATTTCATTCAAAGAGCCACGTCTGCCTTTAAGCTGTTTAGACACAGTGGATAATAAAGTCTGCAGACTTCTGTTAAAATGTGAAGTTTTTGTGTGGGTAAATAGGAGAAGAGATCACTCTTGATCTCGTCAGACTATAACAAATATTCCCACATGCTTTTTGGAGACTTGATGAAACCCAGACATGTGAAGAATATGAGATAGCTTTTTGCAAATCTAGTTTGGGCGCCTGCAGCTTTTCTGTGACCATCGACTCAGAGCCTAAAAATCTGGATGCAGAATTGCACAAAAGCCTCAGCAGGCATGTTGCGTTGATAAAAATGTTGTGGTTATTGTGCAGCATTTACGGGACCTACACTGTACTCAGATTGTTGTTCATTTTCATAGTCGGATAAATGTTCATTTTTCCTTTTATTTGAACATCGTTTTACAGCTCTGCTATAACTAAGCCTCGAAAAACCTGAAAATGAAACAAACAGATGTGTTTTTGCCCTTTTTTCTCCTCCTCTGCTGATGAAGCGTTTCACACAGAGCATGAGGCTGGAGCGCCTCTCCATGGAGCAGGGGACGATGGATGAGCCCTCCGCTCAGAGCGAGCAGGCCGACGAGCCAGAGAAAAAGAGGCTGACCACGAAGGTACAAAGCATCCATCACCACAGCCTCCCCTCTGAGAAACACGTACTGAATAGAGAGGCTGTAAACCTTACTAAATCAGGCTTTGTTCATTCATCCTCCTAAAATTTTCATTATATGATTGTTTGTCGTCTTTTCCTCTTGGCTGCTGCTTCAGTTTTTAGCTGATCACGCAGACTCCCTCCAGACCGACGCCAGCTTCGAAGCCACCATCAGCAAGTTTGACAGCAACTTCAGCATGCTGCTGCTGGACCTGCTGGACAAGCTGAGCATCTACAGCACCAACGACTGCGAGCACAGCATGATCAGCATCATTTACAGGTACGCCTGTCAGCATTACAGAGGACGTTTGTAATAGGCTTTAAATTTTTTTCTTCATACCATCACACAGGCTCAAAGCAGTTGCTGCACTATTCATTTGCATGGAAATGAAGCTGAATGTCAATTTTCTCTTTGCATTCACTAACAGTTGTTAACATTTAATAACCAGAACAGTTTTGTAGGTGGCTTTTGTTAAGATAGCATCTTTTAGACTCCTATCCTGCTCCAATGGGGATTAAAAAAATATCCTGCCCATTTAAAAACAAAGGTTCTGGGTCATGTGATCACCTTAAAGGTTCTTATCATAATTTTCTTTAAAAATAGTTAAAAAAAATATTGTATGAACTAACTACAGAGTTTGAAAAGACATCTACTCTGGGTTTATGTCTGTATTGTGTCGAAGAGACATCAGGTGATGTTGCACTTCTTTTGTAATACCACTTTGCACCACAAGATGGTGCAGTGAGTCACCGTTGCCTAGCGTAGTTCTTCGGACACGTACAACTATAATTTGATCTTCAGTGGGCCGGACGACTGAACCTTCCCCTCAGTGTAGAAAAGTTTAAATGTATTTTGAAAGCATGAATCAAACAGAGCTGCTGAGCATAAAACTCAGGTTTCATCTTCCTGCAGAAAAGCTGCTGTTTTAAATCAGTCAGTAAAGGTCCTGGGGTTAACTCTCAAATATATGTGTAATATTACAGGAAGCAGCTCATTATCTGGATTTTTAACAAGAATTAAAAACTTAATTTACTGTGTTTATTTAACTTTCTATCGATTTATTTACTCTGGAAAATGCTAAAGACGGAGTAAAAACAGGATGTTAGAGCACACGCTTATTTAAAAAAATGCAGAATGTCGAAAGCTAACAGCAGCACACATCTGAAGGCTCAACAATAATTACAGAAGGTACCTTAAATTTATACTTAAGCTTTCACCACCAGGGGACAGCGTTTACAAATCATAAGATTTGCTTTCTCTGGACCTCGGCTGTAAATATGAATCTGGTTTAAAAAAAAGTTTTTCCTCACTGCAACATCTTCTGATATAAAATCATATTACACAAAAGTTCAGCCCAACACTAGTTCAACTTCAGGTCATGTCTCTTTAACACGATACATAGGGCTTATGAACTTAAAGGCAAAATAGTTATTTCTTTGCATCTTGTTGATATCATCAGTTAAGTTTTTAAAAACAGAAATGTACCTTAAAGTACCATTTAAACACTTTTCAGTGATAACATCTGCTTTTTTGAGGAATAGCAAATTTGTTGGAGTGTAATAAAATGAATTTTATTTGAAACAAAAGGTGCATCATTACATTTCCTCTGATGACTCCTCAGGCTGGACTTTAACGGCTTCTACACTGAGCGGCTGGAGAGGATGGCCATCGAGCGCAGTCAGAAGGCAGCAGCGTAGCCTGTCGTCGCTTCGTGTGAATATGCAAAAATAAAAGTTTCATCATACCTGCTCATCAGTCCAACCGCCCAGACAGTCACGATTCAAAGAGCTAAGACGTGTATGTTTGTTCATATATATACATGACATTTCTGTATGACCTGTAGAGTCATTCATGTCTGCAGTGTCATTTTAGTGCTTCAGCTCTGAAAATGTGAGTCGTCACTATTTATGGGTAACTTATTGTACCTGTAAATTTATGAAAATGTATGTTTGTATTGAACTTAATTAAAACAAAAATGTACTGAATAATTTTGGTCTCTTGACCCCTGCCTTAACTGGTTTTTATCTGCAGTGAGCAACAAAGAAACCAGTATGAACACTCCTTGATGATGTTAGCCAGAGAAACATGAGTCATACAGGAAGTGTGATAACTTCACAATAAAACCTTCTGTGGAAATTTTTGTTACAAATCTAGAATAGATTTAAAATGTCTGAATAACTCATCATTCAGTGTTTCAAAAAGTCAAAAAACTAGTGTCAAAAAAGTAAAACAAAAAAAAACAGACATTTTTTTTTTCTGATTAACTTTGTGGATCAGAAAAAACACCCTTCAGATGTTTTTGAGCTAAAAACTTTCTTCAGTCAACTCAACATGTTTTCTTACTCTTGGTACGTTATTTGAACTTTTTAATATGTCATACATTAAAAGGTAAAATAAAAATAAATCAGGTGATGTTTAGATTTATGATTGTTGAAGATTTTCTAAGGTTTAGTTAAAAAATTTAACCTTCTTTGCGAAAACCAGGACCAAAACATTATATATATATATATATATATATATATATATATTATATATATATCTAATCTATCTATCTATCTATCTATCTATCTATCTATCTATCTATATATATATATATATATATATATATATATATATATATATATATATATATAACAGAAATGTCTGTGAATACAGAGAATATACTGTAAATTTAGAGAATTTTCCATATTGGGGTCGACAGAAATGACTGTAAGGGAAATAATCTCAATTCACTGGTGTCTGAACTTTTTGAAAAGCTTTATTCGGTTTATGCTGACCCAAGTTATTAATCATAGCTTAAAGGTCTCATAGTTTTTATGATAATAAGATTAACATTTTTAGTTTAAATCTTAAGCTGTTGTTTCCACGTATACATGACTCCCACGTGTCATACTACAGTACGATGTATGATTTCTACATCTACACATATTTTGGGTGTTCCCACTGTGCTTGCTCATAGGGAGTTGTCTGGGGATTTCTTACCTTACACCTTAAAGCCACCTGAGGCAACTGCGATTTGGCGACACATAAATAAAATTTGACTTTATTTTTTAAAGCTTTATTACACCGGAAGTGTAGCCACAGTTGGCTTAACGTTGGGTATCCGGTAAGTCTGCGGGGCGGAGATAAGAACGAAGCTCGGGGGAGTCGCTGCCTGCAAGCGGCTGATTCACGACGGAGTAACGGGAGGTGATCGGCTGGGCCCGAGCAGAGCGCATCATGATGGGAGAGGACTTGTTCTTACTGTGGCTCACATGCGGTAAGACTTTTAACTCCAACAAAGTTTTACGAAGAGCAACAGGCTGCCGCTAAATCAGCAGAAAAGTGAATGAAGTCTGGCAGAGAAGCTTCGAACTATTAATAGGCGAGCAGAAGTTTATGTGGTTTAAAAAGGGTTTAAAGTCCCTGTAAAAGAAAACATATGGTTCAGTTTATAACAGTATTTCCCTCTTTATTCACGCAAATGTTGTTTTTCTTTAACCAATTTACTGTTTTATTTACAAGTTATGTTGCTTTACTAATAAATATTAACGCTCTTAAAAGATCTGATGTGCCTTTAAAATACAGTATTTGATTATACATCTAACTTCTCAGCAGTACAGAGGAGGAAACATGAAACAATTAGATCATCTGAGGTGATGGATAGGTAGACACGTGTGGTCTTAGATATGTTTGCCCTTTATTTAAGAAGAAATTTGAGATTTAAAATCTATTAGTAAGAAAGTCATGACCAAGAAAAACGATTTGATCAAGCTGAGGCAGGTTTAGTAAAACAACTGCATTAATAAAAACCCCTCGCTAATGTTTCCCTTTCTTTAAGTGTAAAAACAAGTATATTCTAAAAATGTTCAACAGGGGATATTATTTCTAGTTAAATTATTATTATTATTTTATATGAAATTTTATAAAAATCACATAATTATCCTGGCATAAGAAAAAATGCTTTTTTAAAAGAGCAAGTGAATTCAGTTTAAAATACCGGGAGGTCTTCAAAATAAAACACACAGAAGAACATGATAAAAATCAGCACAAAGCAAAAGAAAATCTAAATAATTCTTAAAATATGATCATTAAATAAAATAAGATTTTAAAATGATTAAGCCAAAAATATAAATACGTAGGACCTGGAAATTAAGTCAAATAATGGAAATAAAATAACTTCAGTTTTGCCTAATTTTTAGTTGAGAAAAGTTTTTTTGCCATCAGTCGCTGTGAGGTGAGGCAGGTAGATGATACTAAACGTAAATATTGTGCTTCTGAAATGCAAAGACGACAATAGAAGAGGATCTAAAATCGATCCTTGAGGGATGCCACATTTAATGCAACAGTTTCTGTCACAGCTGTGGCATTTTTTGTTTTTAGGATTCAAAGAGCTCGTCTAGATCTGGAAACTATTTTAGCTTTCTATACTTTTTCACTTGTTTGCAGTAAAGCTGGCATCACAACATCAGCTTTTAATGATCTCACTGCAGTTTACACTTTTAAAGACCAATCAGGTCTGGCCCCCAGTTACACATGTATGTGTAATTACATTAAAACAAAAAACAGTCAAATCAAAAATTTCTGATTTGGAAGAAGTGCAACTCATCCACTTAACACACTGTACTGCAATAGCTACACGCTCTTCTTCTTATTCAGCTATTTATCAATAAGTGACTTATATGTATATAAATCATGTATATATTGTATATATTGTCTGTCTATGTTACTGTTTATACTGGAGCACTGTAACCAAAATAATTTCCCCTAGGGATCAATAAAGGATTCTGATTCTGAAATAAATTTTACACCCAGTCCAAGTGTCACAATCTGAAGCCAAAGTCATAGTTTCACTAAACAGAAACCTGGATGTTTGATCTGTTTTCAGAATATTCACTGGAGAAAACTTAAAAAAAAAAAGGGCACGTTAGGCAATATTTAAAGGGTCCGTTTCTGGGTCATTTCTAACTTTTGGACTGATGGCCTCATATTAAACATAAGCACTGTTGCAGATTTTACTAAAAGCTGCAAAGCAACTCCACGCCCGAACATTTCCGCCACCATGATTGTCTTCTCCTGTATGCTCTAGATTTTGTTATGGGGTGACTCCCACAGAGCTCAAATGAGTGAAACCTAGATGCATGCACTGATGCAGTCAGATGTGAGCAGATGTTGCAGACTCTGTATTCTTGAATGCTTCTTTTTACATCAGACAGTCTGTTTTTGGGCTGAATTTGCCTAAATTTGCTTGGCATCTGCACTACTCCTTCATGATCATATACAGACAGTGACTCAGTGTTTGTGGTGTGTAGTTTGTATCGTGCACAGCTCGGGGACGTTGTCTCACGTGGAGCGTTACGAGGTGGTCCGACCTCAGAGACTCCAGGAGAGACACAGGAGGAGCCTTCAGGACCACCCGCAGGTACTGACGCCTCAGCTGCACATCACCGGTGCTCTCTCTAAAATATTTCTCATGTGATTCATTATTAAAAATAGTGGAATCTGCATACGTTACTGAGTATCGTTGTGCTGGTTTTTCCATGTCAGATAGGAATATTCTTCCAATAGTTCTCTGACATCAAGCTGATCTTTATTGTGTTAATGCATATTGTAAGCATCCTTTAATTGTGTGTTTTTAAGTCATTTTGGATGAGATTAGCGACACCCGGGACTGAAAAACCAACCTCTGTGTTCTCAGCATTTCAACATGTTTTCCTAATAACAGCTAATTTATCAGTGCAGTTTCACTAGCTGCTTTGCAGATTAAAAATGTGCAAACTATGTGTTATCATAAATCAGAAGCACATGTTTGGGTGCAGGACTTTTACCTGCACAGGTATTTTCCTTCCTTGCCTTTTTTCCCACAAGTGAAAGATGTTCAGGAGGTTAAACGCCACCCTGTGACTTGTGCACGTTTCTCTGCAGCTTTATCCTGATACAGTTCGGTACGAGTTGGCCATCGAAGGGAGAAATCACACAGTTCTTCTGGAAAAAAACAGGTGAGTTTCATTTCTGCTCAGCAAATGCAAATATTATATATATGTTATTATATATAAATACATGAAAATGAATTTCAATTTTATAGGAACCTTATTGGGAGAGACTACACTGAAACACATTATACTGAAGATGGCAAACGGGTGACAACATCACCGAAACAAGTGCGTTTTAACTTTATTTAAATGATTAAGTAAAATCTTGTTTGTTCAATCTCAAATGATATGTTTTTCACTTTTTGCAACATAAAAAATGTTTAAAAAATTTGACTTATTTATGTAAAATAGCCTCGAGTCCTGTTTTAAAGGAGAAGGAGCTGTTTCAAAAACTTTTTATTGCCCCAGAAATGATAAAAATCGAACATTTTAGACTTCTAATTGTGATTTTTATGGAAGCAAAAACAAAGAATCTCTGCGTGAGCGATGTCTGTACCAGCCGGCCTCACTGACCGATCCGTGTTTTTAGGATCATTGCTACTATCACGGTCACATCGAAGGCATGGATGACTCCTCGGTGAGCGTGGGGATTTGTTCTGGCATGAGGTAAGAGAGCAGCGATAGATATTTTTACAACATAGGACTTCCTGTTTTATCACTTACATCATCTGTAGAGAAAGTTTCTCAGGTTCTTGAGAAACGCCTTGCTTCATATTTAGCAACCTGGTTGTTTTTCTGCTCGTCGCATTGCTGCTCTGTGCCCGGGTACCGCCGTTTCACCCTTAATGCCCCTTAACGACCCATTACGTCTGTTTGAAAGCTTTTATGTTTTTATAAGGATCAAAGTCACATCTCTTCTGTTCTTGGCAGACGAAAAAAGTTATTTCTTTAATGTCGATGTGCAGTGGCTTCCTGAGAGCCCGGCAGCAGGTTTACCTGATCGAGCCTCTGGGGCAGACGGACGATGGCGATCATGCCGTTTACAGACAGGAGCACCTGAAAATCAGCGGCAGGCCCAGCTGTGGCTATTCATCCAACACCACCCTACTCTACGACCAGGACCAGGGCCCTCAGGTCGCTGGACTCTTCAGGTCCAGATCATGGGTATGCTCTAGTGCCAGTGTAGTTTTCTTTCACCTTCATATAATACAAAAGTTTTTATAACACTGAAGGAACCACAGCTAGAAGATAGGCACGTTTTCCTCAGTGAATTTTAAGAAAGCAGATCAAACATCCATCCCATGAATGATACTAATGTTCAGATTGGCTGTAAAATCGAAACTTGACCCCGAGGAGGTCAGCTGGGACCTTTCCTTTACTTAGTTTGATTTTTGTGTGCGTGTTTGTGAATTCCAGCCACTGTTCTGTTACATACGATGAGTCAGGGTTCGTCTTGGGACAGAAATGATCGTTCAGACGTCTCCTGATATCGAGAACAGATGAACACACATGTTCATCCTGTGTGTTCATCCCATCTCGAGGATCTTCTCTCGCACAGAGCTTTGCAAACCTTACTTTAAAGTCTGCTCTGCGGATAAGGAAACACGGTCCGTCTCTGCACCGTCAGCTAGCAGCTCAGCTCTGCCTGAGCTCCACCGGGTAGCAGAAACACCATTAATAGTTAGATTTCTCCAAATAGAAGGGGTCACACCGATGAAGTCAGTTAGAACCTCTGTGTAAATATATTTGGAATGCAGGACTTGAATTCATTCGCTCACATTTTTATTTGCAGAGGAGTGGTCCTCTTTTATTGTCCCCTTGTTCCATTTTAATGTGTGTAGATGTGTAGTAAAAGCACATAAGTGAGTAAATAATCAATAAATAATGAGGTTGATGTGTCATGTTGGCGTGTATTTCACAGTTTTTTTTGTGTTTCCTTTCAGAAATCGAATCCCACGCCGGGTCCTCAGAGGTTTGTCGAGCTGTATGTTGTGGTGGACAACGCTGAGGTAATAACGTCTCACTTTAAATAAAACTTCACCCTCATCGCTGAGTAAATCTGACACATTCGCCTCCTTTTCTCCTGCAGTATAAAAAATATGGAAGCAATACTGAATCCCGTATCCTCGGAGTCGTGAATCACATCGATAAGGTGAGTTTGCGTCCAGCTGTTTAAGATGTTTGACGTGTCTTAGCACATCTGTTCCTGACGGTCTCCTCCTCCGCCCGCAGCTGTATCGGCGTCTGAACATCCGCGTCCTGCTGGTGGGGTTGGAGATTTGGTCGAACAAAGACCTCATCGACGTCAGCCACAGTTCAGAAGCCACGCTGGACAAGTTCCTGGCGTGGCGTCAGGACGACCTCCTGCTGAGGGTGAAGCACGACAACGCCCAGTTTGTGACGTGAGGATTGACATTTGTGCAGATGTTTTAATTGCAGTGATGCCGCCGGCTTGACCTGACGGTGCGTTTTTGTCTTTAACAGCTGGAGAGATTTTGACGGAGAAACAGTCGGACTGGCAAATAAGTTCGCCATGTGCACCGGAAACTCAGGAGGCGTGAATCAGGTGGGAGTAATGGCGTCTGACTCTCGTTCATCAGGATGGACGATGGAGGTGATACTGATTCCTTTTTCTCCTTCAGGATCACCATGAAAACCCAATAGGCCTCGCCTCCACTATCGCCCATGAGATGGGACATAACTTTGGCCTTTCCCACGACGCTCCAGACTGCACGTGCGGTTCCACCTTCAGCGGGAAGGATTGTGTCATGGCAGAAAAGCTCAGGTAAAAATGCAGACCAGAGCAGATGTAGAATTTTTTGCATCTGCAAACATTTTCCCATTTGTAAACCGTTAAAATCAGAGCAGGGGTGCGCTGAACCTTAAGCTGAGCCCAGATCTCCTTGTTCCTCCCACAGGGCAGGAAATCAAATGTTCCCGGAGTTGTTCAGCAGCTGCAGTCTTTCTCAGCTCGCTGAATTCCTGGAGCGAGCTCAGCCCAGCTGCCTGCAAAAGCCCACCTCCTCCAGGATCATCGCCGTGGGCCCCCGCTGCGGCAACGGCATGATGGAGCCCGGAGAGGAGTGCGACTGTGGCATGGTGGAGGTAACCCCAGCTACGTTTAAATATGTCCTTTGCTGAAGGGAGATGCTATTTAGGTTCTTCCATTTTATCCCACTGCTGTGGTTTCCTGTCTGAGGTTAGGGCAGGTAGCGTGTGCAGAGCTGCAGCCTTAAAGAGTTCAAATTTAAAATAGCTTTCTAGTGTGCTCACACCTCATCAGAAGGGGGAGAATTCCTGGGTGAGGTCACTGCCTTCATCGCTGCAGCCATGTTTGAGGATCAAGTGTGTGCACAGAAACAAACGTTGTGTGTCTTTGTGTTTTTTGCAGGAATGCAACAATCCCTGCTGCGATGCCTCGACTTGTCGGTTGACTGCAGGATCCCAGTGTGCTCACGGACAGTGCTGTGAGAAGTGTCAGGTACTGAAGCTGCTCTGCTCCCTTCTAATGTGGCTTTATATTAATCTGTACCTACACAGTATAAGACGCCTCATTCCAAAGCACGTTGCATCTAAACAAAGGTGCAGAAAACAACCTAAATTTGAATGTAGATTCAGAGCGTCAGCGTGCTGCGAGGACATTAATACTAATCACAGGTCCAGCTGTGATTAATCGAGTTCTCGATGAAGTTTAAAACTCTCTGGAGACAAAAATACGTTCAGCATGTGTTTTAAATTATTCCCTGACACATTTTTGGAATCTGGCTCTGAAGCCGGTCTGTGATTTGATAACTAACAGAGCTCACATTCACAAAAACATCCGAGTCTCAAATTTAGCGACGTGTTGGCTGAAAACGTCAAACCCCAGACTCTCTTTTCTCCTCAGAGTAATTTCCAAATAAAGCTGTGGGAGATGCTTTTCACTCAGCAATTTCCCGGGCTTTCTCCAGAATTTTAAGAACATTATGTATACAGTTTATCCCAAATATCAATGCAACACACAGCTGTGTGTGTGTGTGTGTGCTGCTAATCTCTGCACACATCAGCTGGATTCTGAACGAAGCTGCTATGTTTTTCTCAACTCCTGCTCTGCCTAATGCAATGACACATTTTGTAAAGCACACCAGAATAAATAATGATAATTTGAGCCATATGTGCAGCTTCTCTGCCGTGTGTCACAGATAGTTGCCAACTTTAGTGAGGTAGTGAAAGTTGTCAATGATTTGAACTTCCAGAATCTGTAAAACATGCAGTGCATGGAGCAGCTCAGCCACAGAAACCCACGAAGCTCCCAGCACACCTCTTTTGTGCTGAGCTGGCTCCCACCGGGGACGTTTTATGGAAAAACAGTCATTAACGTCACTGTGTCACAAAAACGATTGCACACACCAGCAGCTAGTTTCTCAGTAGGTGGTTCTGGATGTTGTAATGAGTAAGATTTTTCTCCTGGGAACATTAATCCTCTTATCTACATTGAGTAGATACTGAAATATCTTTTTTATATAACTGAGAAATATTGATGTGCTATATTTTAAAAAAAAAAAGTCAGGCACTGTCAAAGTATGCCATGTTTTGCAAAAATATTTCAAAAGATATCTTCATGAAGGCCTTGGAGGACGATCAGAGGCTCGCCTTCTGGTAACTGCTGAGATATTTTACTGAAAATTTGCAGGAAAGTCAGCGCGTCACTAAAATAGATCAAGATTAATACTCAGGATTATGAATATTTCAGAATTTTTTGACAATCTGTCCAGTAAATGAAATGAATGCCGATTTTCTGTTGTAGCTGTTGGGATATAACAATCCCCATTCTCTGTGAAGTTCAGGACCTTTCCTAAAGACACACCCCGCCTCTGGCTAATAAATGTAAGGTTACTCTTACACCCGCTGTTCAGCACTAACAGGAAAGGGAGGATAACACCCTGCTGTTTCAGTTTTTTATAACTCACCACATCCTTCCTCAACTGACAGTTTCAAGGCCTGGAACAGTGCTACAAAAACCTACAAGCGAATTATTGTCCAGATCTGGTACATACAGAAGGTCAAAACACTAAAATATTATTTTTGTTCAGTTGAAGTCATCTGGGAGCGTGTGCAGGCAGTCAGCCGGGACCTGCGACCTGCCCGAGTTCTGCACCGGACTGTCGTCGGATTGTCCTGAAGACAGCTTCGAGATGAACGGCAAGCCCTGCTACAAAACGCTCCAGGGCAGCGGCACTGTCCAGGGATACTGCTACAACGGCCAGTGTCCCACCCAGGAGCATCACTGCTGGAGGCTTTTTGGACCAGGTACGCTCAGCATGCTGCTATCGAAGACATCAGCTGCTGGTTTGGGAAGTCCCAGTTTGAGGCTCTTTTGCTTTCTTGGCTGATATCTGCACGCTCAGTTAGAAAGGTGCACCTCAGGGTTTGTATATAAAAATGTGACTTTGGTTTTTGGCTGTGCATTTTGAAGCCTCGCTGACCATATCCAGACACGAGGATGGAGCACGAGGTTATCACCTGGTGGTTAGCAAGCTGCACGCTTAAACTGTACAGCTTGTGATTCCATTAAAAAAAGTCCTGAAAGGCTCCAACAGCACAGACACAGAGAACAGGTTGAGCTCAGTGGCTCGGGTTAGCGTAGGTGAGCTCTAACAGGCTGCCTGTGAACCAAAGCACCACACCGCTGACTCTGAGGCTTAACAGCATCCTAATGAATGAGTTATTTAAAAATAATCATCCAGCCTGCAGCTGTTACACCGAAACATGCAAAAATGCTCCAGTAAAGTTGGACATTTTAACAAGGGAAGTCTTTGGGAACTGACTGGCTTTTGGGGCCTCAAGTGGCCATGAGGGGAACTGCAGGCCTTAGCTTGTCCCCCGCCCCACCCTCCGGCGTTACTTCTTGGTTCGTTTAGGGATAAATCAGCACTGTTTTGAGTAGATGAGATAAGCCTCAAGGAGCTTTTAGCCATTGGTCTACAAACATTTAGATTTTACTGTCATGTGGTGGAAATAACTTTAAGATATCTGTCCAACTAAATATTTAATACATTTTGTTATGTAAGCGATTGCAAAGAAAGTCTCATAAGAGGTTTGTAAATACAGTCCATTGATAAAAGGCAAGACTAACACATTAGATCAGTACTTTTCTGGCCATTTTGATGAGTTCAGCAGCGTGCAGTTAAGGCGCCTCGTCACTTTAGTTATATTTAACTCTGACATCGATCCCACTCTGGCATCTCTGGACGCTTAGAATTTAAAAACGCTGCTGAACCCATGTGCTCGGAGGTGCATTAGTATAGCAAACGCAAGGATGTAGAGTCTCAGACCGACAATAGATGACAGATTAACATGAAGCTTTCCTTCTGTGCCTTCTTCCAGGGGCCCAGGTGGCACCAGATTTATGTTTCAACCTGAACCAGCGTGGCGAGGAAGGCGCTAACTGTGGGAAGAACAAATTCGGCTTCATTCGTTGTGCTCCACAGTACGTGTCACCATCTGTCATTCACCCTGAATTCAGAGTGATGAAGAAGCACCACAAAGCTCTGGATTAATGCTTTTGTTTTGTGTAGGGATGTTAAGTGCGGATCGATGTTTTGTGAGGAAGGAGGCGAGTCTATCACAGGGAAACGGGCAAGCTACAACACAATGTACGGCAAAGAGTGCAAACTCGCCGTGGACGACGATAAGAGGAGAAACCTGGACATGGTGCCGAGTGGCACGAAATGTGCGCCGGATAAGGTAAAACTGTCACAGGGAGACACATTGCAGGACGATTAATTTTCTTTGAATATTTTGGCCGTTTTACTCAGAATCAAACGTTTGTGCTCAGGTTTGCCTCAATAACAGATGTGTGGATGTGTCAGCCTACGGGAAGAGGGAGGACTGTGCAAAGAAGTGCAACAACAACGGAGTAAGTTCAAAATCAGAGAACTAACCGTAATTTTCACACCATTAAACATGAACCTTCACCTCATCCCCTCACCTGAAACAACATCTGGTGTTAAACTGAACCCGAGCCCCATGTTTGCCCTGAGTTTAGTCTGTCAGGCGACATACAGGCAGCCATAAACTTAGATGTTTTAATGAGGGATGTAGAAGAAACAGCAGAGAGCAGACGGGGCAGGAACAATAGCAGCTTCAGAGCCAAAAATTATTAAAAAAGAGATGAAAAAGCAGCGAGAGAGAAAGAAAGAGCTGTTATTACCAAATAAGTCAAACTAAAAGTGGTGCTAGGTATGAGAAAAGAGATGAGGAATGCACTGTTTATGTTGTTTTAGCCATCACAGCAGACTAAAACTGGACAAATGCAGCTAGTCTCAAGGAATGTAACAGCCTCCTAACGACGGGGGAAGAAACTATAAATGACTTTAAACACTGACTGAATAAAATGAAGAAACGATCAGATAAAAAACTGCAAACGCCTTTCAAACACGATCCAAACCAGTCGCGTTGAACATGAGCTCCACTTCCACGACTCGTGTTTTTAATCATTTAACTGCTTTTTATCCGCAGGTGTGTAATCACAGGAACGAGTGCCACTGTAATCCCGGCTGGGCTCCTCCCAAATGCAACGTCCAGTACGCGGATTTACCTCAAGGTACAGACGCTGCGGTGCATTTAACGTTCACGATAAACTATGAAGCACGACGTTTAGAGACGTTCAGCTGCTGTTGTAATCTACAGGCTCAATGAGACTTTCAGATGAAAACAGGTCACAGCTGCTTGTTGAATCATTTTTCCAGTGAATAAGAAACATGAGTGATTCATTATGAGAGCCTCCCAGCACTGACCCCGTTTGCTCTAATTTAGTTTCAACACTCTTTTGTAGAAGACTTGGTTGTCTCTGCTTCATGTGCAGAATGTATTTACATTCTGCACATGAAGCTTGAACTTGAGTTGCGCCTCATGATTGTGCAACTTTCTGTCCACATAGTACCAAAGAAAAGGGGAAGAAGAGACTCTAAAACACACTTTCCTCTGAACAAAACAAAAAATTTAGTGAAACTAAAGCTAATTAAGAAAATAAGAGGATGACATAACTTCCTCTGAACACTGCTCTTGTTGTTTGTGTGGAAAATTCCTTTTACATAACATTTTCATGTTGCTCTTAGAAAATAACATTTTCAGATTTGATAGTCTAATCGTTCTGCAAAATCAGAAGCTGGTAAGTTGTTAAAACGGGAAAAAGATGCTTCGTATTGAGTTTTTAGCCACAGTTCAAGAGCTTCCTCACGATTTAGTTGTAAAATTTAAACTAAAATCTTCATTTTTATTTGTTACTTAAAAGCCGTGATCAGAAAATTTTGCTCCTGAGGCCAAAGAAAAAGCAAAAACCGCGACTGGTTTAAATTTAGCTTTTAGATAATCTTCAATCGCTTCTTCCAGCGTGGCTGCCGTTTGTAAAACGCTCCGTGGAAATCCTGCTCCGACCACTTTCAGGAGCTCTTTTGTGATTTCACCCTGGGCCACAAACTGTTCGTGTCGAGGATCATTGTTACTCAGAGAGCTGGGAGCAAACAGCTGTTTTCAGAGAGCAAGAACTGTGACCCAAGTGTGGTCGCTGTGGTCGTTCAACATGAAGTTCTGCAGTAATGAAATGAGGGGATTAGGATTCCTGCATCCTCATTCAACCATTAAACCAACCGACATGAAACCCAGACTAAATATTTACTTACTGAACGAGCCAAAGAAAAGCTCGAGTTCAAGTGGAGAGATCAGGACTTAGACGGGGCAAAGACACACAACATAGTGCAGTGGTTTGGTGCAGTCACCTAACTAGCGAAAGATCCATGGTTTGACCCCGGGAGCAGAAACGGATGCCTTTGGGAATCTATCTGGAACAGCATCTGGTGTAAAACCACACCAGATACCCACTGGTGAGGAAGGGAGCAGCCCAAAGTAGCTGGAGAAGTTGGTCCAGAGTGCACAAGGAGCCGACCTTGAAGGGAAGATCGGACAAATATAAATCGGGTCTGGTTTTTGCTTTTAACGAGAGCTCTAGCAGAACTTTAAGACCCTTTGTTAGAGCTTAAATTAAACTGAACAAAATGAAAACGTGACCCAGTTTTATTGCTCAGAAGATGACCAGATTTCATCATCTGACTCAATGACTCCAGGAGCTCTGTGGCTAACGGAGAGAGTCAATATGAGCCAAAGTCTCTGAGGGACGTTTCCAGCACCTTGTTGAATCTATGCCATGAAGGACTAACGCAGTTCTGAAGGCAATGCTGTTCAGAATTTAATTGCACTTAGACATAAAGAGTGCAAAAAAGGACGCATCAGTACTTAAGTGCAGTTTTACGTTTCCTCTGCCTGCAGATCAGGTTGGGCTGATAGCCGGTGTGTGCGCAGCAGTCTCCATCCTGCTGGTCGTCACTCTGCTGATTGCTGGGCTGATGTGCTGTAAGAAGGACGACATGGAGCGCTACATCGCTACAAGGTAGTTTTCCCCCTCTGCGGTCTGGACTCTTCATCTTTTCCTTCTTCTTCCCGGCTAAATAAATAAATGTTGTCTTCACAGGAAAGTGCATTCAGCTGAAGGGAAGCTGAACCCGTCGTTCCAAGAAGGAAGTGGTAAAGAAAGACCTCAGATCAGTCAGCCCACCTTCATGGAGACCACAGCAAAACAGGCCTGCACCCCTCTGATGGGTCGAGTGACCCCCTGCAGACCCGCCCCACAGGTACGCCGAGCAGCCAGGTGTACGCAGGTCTCAGTTTTACTGTGAAATGCTGACAAACCGCTTTTTGTTTTCCAGCCACCGCTGAAAGCGTCTTCATCGTCAGTCACGTCGGAAACTGAGCCGGTAAGACTTTTGTTTTTAAAGACATAATGCAAAATGAAGATCGCAGCAACTTGAGCGTCTATTAAAGCTTAAAAATGAAACTATGTTAAATAACATGCATAAAGGAGACCTGCCATCTTTTTTCCTTACTTTCTGCCCTGTGTAATATTATAATGAGATCACCGTGGTTACAAGCTAAAAGCTCAGGCTTCATTTTTTTTGTGTGACTCATTACCTCACTCAATCTTATCTTTATGAGGGGCAGCCAATCAGAAGAAACTGTCAGCTGTTTCTTTGCTGGTATCGTGTAGACTGAGCCCAGCTTTAAACTCAGCTTTTTTGGACGTAGTTTAGTCTACAGTGTTGAGCTGTTTAATGAAAACAGCTTAGGATTGTTGATTTTTGCAGACTTTACTGGAACAGCCAGTCACAGAGGACTGATAAACATCAGTGTAGCTCTGTGGCTTTATGAAATAATGTCATTGTTGATTTTTGGTTTCCATGTGATCAAACTTGGACTTTAATGTTCATTAGGAGCCTGTAAAGTGTCAGCATCTGCTCTAAATCCCAGTTAAATAACAGTCTTCTTCCTTTTCACCACAGATGAAACCTCTACCTCCATCTAAACCTTTACCAACTCTGAATAAAACACAGGTGAGCGCCAAGGCAGAGAATTTTAAACACTTTTCCCCAGGACGTCATATAAAGGTCACTCGTTTTATTTATTTTCATTGATTCATTCATATTTAGATGTTCTTTCTGGGGATCAATAGGGATCAACTGGTCTGCCCAAACATTTTCCAGCTCTACGTTTTTTATTTTTGGACTTACTCGAGTAGCTTTGCATGATTCACAACTCAAAATAATCCTTATGCATGTCACACTGGGCCTTCGTGAAGCTAGAGCTCATCAGCTGTCTCAAACAAACCGATTGGGTGCCTCTTTAAAAACAGAGTTGGAATACGTGACAATATAAGGGATCTCCATGACATCATGCAGAGCCATCATTATTTGAAACTTTAGTTTAACATGCGCATCCACCCCGATGACAGGAAGCAGTGTTGAGGTGCAGAAGTTGCTAATTTGCTTTCATAAATTCACCTAAGAATCATTTTTTGTTTTTCAGAACAAAGCAGTGAAACCAACCCCTCCTCCCGTACCTCCGGTCAAGCCCAGCCCTTCGCCGGCAACCAGAATAAAGCCTTTCGCGCCTCCTCCGCCCCCAGCGAAGCCTCGTGTTCACAGACTCGCATGAAATCCTCATCAAGAGTATCGACTTGTACCAAAGCAGAGACATCCAGGGTGTAGTTTTACTTTTTAAAAGCGAGTGACTCGCCGACGCTCGGCTCTGTGGAAAAGTTTACGCTTCAAAGCCGGTAAAGATGTTGTGCAGACCGAGGCTCCACCAGCTGAGAGTATCTTTAATGACACGAGACCAACAGCTGCACAGCTGCTGTGGAAAAGTCTGATTTTTTTTTTCTTGGCTGTTTTCTGGTGGTGGGGTTCGTTCTAAATTAACTGCTGCTGCAGTTTTCCTCCTGTGTAACGCGTGTAAAGCACTTTTATAAGATATTGTTTTACAGTATTTATTTAATGAGTGTTTAAGGGACTGCATGAAAATGATTAGGCAGTTATCTTTTTCGTGAATGGTAATGTGTTCAGTTTGTAGCTTGTTTGGGACACTCACACACTCTGTGCCTCTACAAGCAGCTCTAATCAGTATTTTTTATAAGATAATGTGAAAAAGTGTCCATGTCAAAGGGTCACTTGTCCTGATACCTGCACAGAACTGAGCTTGCAGCTCCACTGTGATATAAAGAGATCTGAATGTTGCTGGGACTCATTTAGGACGTAATTAAACAGGAGCAAAGCAAAACTAAGCAACTAGTCTGAACATAATAAGAAAGAAAATCCTAATTATATGTCAAAGGTCTCTAAATCATGGGCCACCCTGCATTGTTAAAATTGCACAGGCATAATGTCAGAGCACTTTTAACATTTTTTACAGCATTGGGGAAACTCAAGCTTCAGAGGTGAACATTTATAAGACAGTTTGCCACTTTTTCCAGTCTTTGTGCACAAATTTGCTTGTAGACTTTCTTTTTTGTAAAGTAAAAAATTTATTCTCTTAAATTTGGTACGTTTTCTTGTAAATTTGACTTTTTTTCAACAAATTTTAGTGGCCCTAATACGCCCTGTTAGGTTCATGTCCGTGTGGCCATGCAGAATCAAAGACGGCTGCTGTGTAACACAGTAAATCAGACCGTTGACTGATGGTGTATACTAATACAATACCTGATCACCAACAAATAGAAGTGATCAACTTTCCTATTACTTACCTGATGGAGATTTGTGTGAGACGGCAAACGCCTGTTGCTTACTCAGCAGTAAAAACACAACAAACAAAAGAATCTGTAACTTCATAATGAATGTGAAAACAGCTGCAGCTCCAGTAAAAGAACAATGGGCAGGAGCTCGGGCAGCTCTCAGCCTAACTAGCCTGAGTGTATTCAGCAGTGAAAACTCATCTCAAGCAGACTGCATGTGAGAAAAGAGCTGGAGGCATTTTAGGAGACAGTCAGGAAATGTATGGGAGAATTCTTCAGCAGCAAATATGCCGGCAATGTTTCACTTCCAGTTAAAAAGATTTTTGAAAGTATATTTTAGGGAAAGTCTGCAAAGTTTTAAACTGTTTTTAATCAAATTTGATCAGTTGTGTAATTTCTATGTCCTGGTGAGCAAAATGATAGGTTTAGGGAGGAAATCTGAGTCCAGCAGCCTGAAAGAAAAACAAAATAACCTCCAAAATATCAGAAAGAGGTAGAAGAATCTAACTGCGAGTGACAACAGCCAGTCTGTAAACCTGTTACTAATCCCAACATGTTTCTAAGTGGTGTGAAACGTTGATTCGGGTGGTTTTGTAATGCCGTTATTCAAAATTTTAACGATGTGCTACCCTTTATTTTATTTAAATGCTGGACTCAAAACTTTTTGAACCAACCACGAGACAGCGTTCGTCTGCATCCTTAATTGTTCTTATTTAAATTCTTCTTTGGAGACCAGCTTGTAAAAATAGCCAAATGAACAGCTGAGACCAAAAACAGAGCGACTGGTGAGGTTTCACTAATAGCTGCACGCAAACGCAGCCTCAAATGTTTTTTACCTGTTGGTTTGTGATTGTTGTGCCTTTTTTTTCTTTTAAATTAAACAAAGTTCCAGTTGATACTGAGAGATCAATGGGAAACTGTATTTTTTTCCTTCTTTTTTGGATTTTTGACTTTCATGCAGTCCCTACAGTGCCTTCGCAGCCATTTTGTGCCTTCTACAAAGTGTTTTTTTTACATTACTTTGCACTGTACTTGAAGGTACGTCCGTTACGTGGCCTCTGTGTGTTACTGTGGTTCAGCTTTAAACCTTTTTAAGCTCCATTGTTCGTTCAGTCCCACAGAGGTGGGGAATGGGTGGATGTAATGGAGCCTTGAGGAGAAATTACTGTTTTGTTTGTTTTCTCTTAAACTGCACTGATATTTTTCTAGGAAGAGTTGTGAAGGTTTCATATGTTGAACTGCAAAGTAGTCATTAATCCAAAACTACAGCGTATGATTTCACATGATAACAGTCCTCTTTAATTGTAATCAGTTGCGTATGATCAGATGTAAAAACTTGAATTCCCATGAAGCGCTTTCTGTTGCAATGAATAAAGTGCACTTTATTTCGACAGTGTGATCATGTTGCATCAGCTGACTGTGTAATTCATTGGTGTGGTCCAAAACATGAGAGGGAAATTACATCCGTTACATTGGATTTGTTTTCCTTGTGTAACATTTAATTAACTGACCGAGCAGCCTTCTATTGTTCTTCCCCAGCAAACGGTGTCTTTACTGGTCTCTAATGAGCGGCTAAAGGAAGCAGGTCTGAGAGGCAGCTGCGAGGACTCAGACTTTATCGTCTGAGTTTCCTGTTTGGCATCCAGACATTTTTTTTTTTTTAATGTCTTCTGTTAACTGAAATGCTGCTCACTTTTCTTTGGAGAAACAAGAACTTTCACTGTGAATCAATAAAAGGCTCAAGTGACGTCTTACTGCAGCACAGAAAACACAAACATCCATGCTGGACCCCCTCTTCCCTTCTGAACTTCCCTAATTCTTGGAAGCCTTCCTCGGGTTCCATCACCTCCCAGAGGTGCTCTGCTGGACTGAGATCAGGCGACTGGAGGCCATTCAAGTACAGCGAACGATCTGAGGTTCAGGATGCTGCAGTAGCAATCGGAAGACAGGTACACTGTGGTCAGTAAGCTGAGGGGTTTAAATGATGCTCACCATTAAACCAGCAGCATCCTAAACTGTTCATACAATGTATATTATGCTGTTGTCTCATTAGAGTGAGCCTGTGGGAACTGTAGCCTCAGTTTCCTGCTCTTAGCTGACAGGAGTGATGCTCGTGGGGCCTCCTGCTGCTGTAGCCCATCAGCTTCAAGGTCCGATGTGTGCATTCAGAGATGCTCTTCTGCATACATTGACTGTAATGAGTCGTTATTTGAGTTTCTGCCTCCTTCCTATCAGCTCGAAGAAGCCAGGCCATTCTCCACCGGCTTCTGACATCAGCGAGGCTTTTTCTCCCCATAGACCTCCCACATGCTGGACATTTTCCACTTTCAGACCAATTTCTGTAAACTTGGGGATGGTTGTGTGGGAAAATTGCAGCAGATCAGCAGTTTCTGAAATATTTAGGCCACAACGTTTGGCAGCAAGCACTCTTCCCCATTCAGATCCTCAGTTTGAACTTCAGCAAGTTGTCTTGACCGTGTCTACATGCGATATGCGTGCGATTGGCTGATTGCAGGTTTACACGTACAAGCAGAGCAGGACTCAAAAACAAAAACGGAGGGGTAAGTGAGCAGTTCACCCTCTGGATTTTTGTTATGAAAGGGGAAGATATCCATAGAAGCAAACCTAAACGTGCTTATTTCTGCTTTAAACCATTTTAACATGGGAGTCGGCCTCAAGTGGCCATGAAAGGAGCTGGAAGGCGTTTATTCTGTTGAGATCAAACACTGATGTTCTGTGATACCGGCTCTGGCAAAGGTGTTTGATGGAGTTGAGGTCAGGACTCTGACCTCAGGACCTCCACACCAAACCGGCAACCCTCTCGCTTTTGTCCAAACTATCATAGTAGCTGAAGCAGCAAACTGCAGGACGAAGACAAGAGAAGCATAAATATGACTCTCTGCTAGACAAACTCCCACAAATATTTAATGTCAGATGTGTAAATCTCACTGTAAAAAGGGGGGGAAATGTGACTTTAAGCTCTGCTGTAAATCAGATATGGGAGTCGAGCCTGGAGGAATGTGGGACTGAGTAGAGGGGGCGGGTGCTGGTGGTGGTTTCTCTCCGAGAGCTCGTCTGATTCACTCTGATTCACGGCTAATAAAACAACAGTTAACAATGAGCGTGGCTTGTTTGGCAGCAGAACGTTTCGCCTGTGCTTGCTGCCCACTTAACGAGCGCATTCTGCACGAGTTGATACGCGATGACGAAGCCTTCTCTTCAAAGAGATCCGGGCGTCGACTCAACCCTGCAGCCAGCTGTGTGTTTACTCTGCTTTGAGCTCATTTTGCAGGACAAAACCACAACACTTTCTAGGGTAACATACTTCAGAGTGACCTCCGTGTGGTCTCCCAAACCACGTTTACGTTTCCTGCCTATAACTATTTTAAACTCGGGGTAAAATAACAGAATATTACTAATAACAGCGTATTAGTCCTAAACGTTTCAGTGTGCAGAGATAAGATTGTAATCTAAGCCTATCCGGAGGCCGACAGCTGTGACCTGGCATGACTTTTCGTGCTTGTAACACTTCTGACAAATCACTTCCTGACGTGTGCTAAAACAGTTGATGCTGAGCCAGAAACACTTAAACCAGGTCATGAGAAGAAGAGTGAATAAGATGATCATCTGCACTGACTCACTCTTAAAAGACTCAGATAAAATTATTGAATACCCGAGTCAAGTTATCTCGAATGATACCAACTTCCCCTTTTTTTGATACCGACCAAAAAAAAAAGTCCTCTATTGAGTCACGATTACAGAGCAGTGACCGCACTGAGTGCAATCAAACTGTTTGCATTAAGCTTGTTTGTTATGAAGTCCTGAGAAACACCGAGAGAACACTAACGTGTACAGGAAGTCCTGTCAGGACGTTTCCTTCCTTTTATCAGTGATGCTGCAATTAGAGAAATGGACAAGCAGTAAAAAGCAGCTCAACTCTCGATGAGTCAAATCTGAGGACAAATTAGTCAGCTTAAACGTAAAAGCACAACATTACAGTTAGTGAGCTACATGCTGTCACAGTGTCACAGCCAATGACCCACTATGACTATGACTACTGTGACTAGAGACTCAAGTTTCAGCACAAACAAATACGATCCGCCCTCCTCCTCGCGGAGGAGCAGCACATCTGGGAAGCATTTTCAGTCCGTGGTTACAAAAAGCAAATAATATGGACGCTGCTACGTCAGCGGGGACCACCAGAAGAATCCCAGCAGTACAAAAAAGGGAAAGAAATTAGCAGGAAATTAAATCCGTACATGTAAAAACAAAAACAGAATAATACAATTGAACACAAAACTAATCAACTGATCCTAAGTCTGGCAGCCAAAGCCCTCAGAGGAAAAAGGCATTGTACATTTCTCGTAAATTCCATATTCATCTTGTTAATATTTTTTTAAAGCTGATGAGTTTAAGCCTGTCTACAGTTTGGGACCACCTGCATCATGCTTCTGATTTAATCAGTGTGTCACGTCTGTCGTCACAGATGCACTTTAGGTGTACTCATCGGATTCCCAAAATCCAGCTTGTTTCACTGCTGTGATCGCTGCGTGATGTATTCGAGGGGCGGTTAAGTGAATCGTGTCGAGGTTGGCTGCTCAAAGTGTCTTGAGAGCAGTGCTGTTGTGATTTGGCGCTATAAAGTTGAACTGAATAGATCAGATTAAACCACAAATTGGATGAAATTATAAACCTCTGCAAGAGTGCGAGGCAGAGGAGCTGAGACAAACCCAAACAAATATAAACTACCGCAGATGGAAATAACAACCTTCTTGTTATGTTGGGTTCAGCCCGCAATCCAGCTTTTCCTCACCGAGTAACTGAAAGAAGCATCGACACAGGAATCGTGCCAAAGTGATTTATTTTATTTCCAGGTAAACATTTGATCTTCATACAATTACATTTCTAAAAAGTGAACATACTTAAACCAGCAGACGGAAACAAAACTCAAATGGAAAGAAACAAACGGAGTTATTTAAATACAAAACAAAAAGAAAATATTATTTTAGCCATTGCACTTTAACTTCATAAATACAAGAAAGTTCATTTCTCTCTCTGGCCCAAAGAAACACGACGTACAGCACATTCAACCCATCGCTCACGGGTTCGATCGCTCCGATTAGAGGAAGCCCGACCGCGTTGCACCAACGTTGTTGCATTCCTGTCATTATGGGATGTCAGAGAGAAACGACTCGTGTTTGTGGTGAGAGCTGAAACGATTAGCCGGCTAGTCTTTATTTGTTTTTCAAGCAAATTAGCCCGAGACGTTCTCGGCTTCCTGTTACTCAGATCTGAGAAAGCGGAGAAACAGGAAGCGTTTCTTCAGCACCATCAATATACCGTGTAACATTATAATAATCACTGCTTTACTCATGGATGAATCAATTCTGGACTTTTAAAAAATAAGGACAAAAACCCCTAATTTTTGACAGATTGATTGTTATGAGGGGAAAACTCGAGCTGAGACTCGCAGACAATCCAAACAAACTAAATGCATCCGATTTGTTTTTATTTCCTGAATGACAGACTCTGGCAGATGACATTATTTGTTATCACTGAAAGGCTCCAAATGTAACTTTCTCACTGTCAGTAACTTCAGTCGTGACCTCCTACAGGAACGAATGAAAGTAAGAGCAGCTCTGGTTCTGTTTACACCAGTTTTACCTTTTGGTTCTCAAACTGTGGAGTGGGTCCAACTGGTGGGACGCAGAGCATCAGACTATCCCACTGAGCCGACGGCTAATGAAATAAAATTGAACCTGGATCCTGTTTTCTTTACCTGATAAACGTGTTGAGGTGTGCGATGTGACTCAGTGAAGGCTTGAGCTTTACACATGCAATTATTTAAAAATAGAGGAAATGATTTCCACACTCACCCCTGCAAGCCTGAGCCGGATAAGAGGGTAAGATTACTCATTTGTTTTACATTTCCTCATTTTTTGAATGACAGACTCTGGTGGATGGCACATTTGTTATCACTGACTATCACTCATTGAGAATCCTTAAAAATCTCTCTTAATAAAAAGTCTGAATATAAAACTGTTCAAAAACGGCACTGACATTTGAGATGGTTTTCTTTTTGGCCGTATTTGATAAAGAAAAAGATAAATTATCATCTCAGAGAGATCAGAAACACTTGATTTATTTTCTTTTGAATAAATAATTTGACTTTAATCTGTCAAAAATACACCAACAAGGTTTTAGACTTTCAGATCTTTCAAATCCATAATAAGATGAGCAGAATTACCCAATAAATCATGATGTGCACAAAATATTTGTTTTCAGCCTTGACAGGGAGACAAAGATATCAGATCTGCAGTGAAAAAGATTTTTCATGTTTTTGTTAACCGAGCTTTCACTGGACTCGAGAAAACCTAAACTCCCAGACAGACGGGCATCACGAGGCTTTTGCAGAAAATTAAACGTGTTCACTGATTTGGAGGAATAACGGCAATTTCACTCAGAGATGCAAACACGGCCGCTGTGCTGAAGACGGCCCAGATCATCTTAAAGTGGGAGGTCGGCCAAGTGTAAATCGTGCTATTTATTCTTAATCATCATGAATATGCAATTTATTTTCTGCAACGGTGACCTCGTCGATATAAATTGCTCTTTGGAAACGTGCACTTTTAGATTTACATTTTAATCTGAAAATCTGAAAAGAACTTCCTCTGGAGCAGCTCATGCGTGCAGCACAAAGCAAGCCTCGCCATCCTTCACCGTCCCATTAAATCTGCCTCCGCCCTGCAGCCCTCTGGTCTCCTAACCCCGTCCTCTTCTTCTGCAGTGGTTTTACGGCACAGTCTGAACACGAGCCCCACCACCTGCTCGTCTTGATGCAGAATTGATTACAGGATTACTCAGATTTCTGTGGAAACTACGGACTGATCGTTTCAGCTCTGCACAACTATGAATTTAGCGTACATTATTTGCACCCGAACGAGACGAGAAAACCCCGCCTTACATCCATGACGGTTAAAAAGACACACATACAATATACACATCGTATTAACATAATGGCCAGCCATGGGATTTCTGCCTGTAACACTTGTTTTTTAAAAACGTACATACAGAGAATTCAACACGCGCCCTCAAACGTTTCTAGTAAATCAATCAAACCGACGCTGACAGTTTCTGCTCGCTTTAAATTCTGCAACATTTTTGGCAGCTGGGAACGTTTCACCTCTTCACAGAGAGGACACATGGGAGTATCAAAGTGCTCTTTGCTTGATTCTTATTTCCTCCCCACACCCGCCTTCCAGCGACCCCCGACACCTTCCTGCGTTTCCCGTTCATGCCACGGGGTCAAACGAGTTCCCACGTTCCTGTCGAACGCTCTCCCACCTGACTGATCCACGTCAAGCCCTCAAATGTGGTGCTATAGTTTGGTTTTTACTATCACTGCAAAAATGGAGCAAAGTGTGATGAATATTGTGCAGCATAAAGAAAAGAAGAGAGAGAGAGACAGCTTCATTGTTTTGTCATAAAAAACAAGCTCAATAATCAAACCTTCCACCATGTGAGACGATGGGAGGAGACGGACGCCGCTGAGCATGCGTGAACTCAGCTTTTTTTTTTTTTCTTTAAAGATGAGCAGGAAAGTCGTTTTCACGAGAAAATCCCGAGTCCATGTACAAACTGTACTACTGTACTGTTAGACGCCGCTCAGCCGCGTTATCAGCTCACAGTCCTTAGTGTTACTCAGGCGGGGGGTGGAAGGTGGACTTTACGAATTTTGCTTTTTTAGTTTTGTTGTTAAAGTTTCGTATTTCGTCCAGCTCCAGTCTTGGTCCTTGAAAGATGGAAATGGAGGCGTTAGTAAAAGACAACCGAGAATATGTAACGTGCTGAAGTGCAAATATATCTTAATTTCTGAGTTTTTAATAAGTTTTGGATGTTAGTTGCAAACAGTCTCATTTTACAGAGTTTTGATAACGCTTCACAACAATCATCATTAATAAAAGATAATATGACACCTTAGTTTACAGTTAAATATTATTATAATTAAAAACCTAATATTTGTTAACAATTAATGGTCTAACATTTTGACTTTACAACAATCATCTACAGTCTTTGATAAAACTTTACTAAAAATGGTTAAAAAAAAAAATCACTGCTAACATAAGTTGGAAGTGGCAACTTTAAAGAGAGATGCACCATGTTGGGTGTGCTCTGTCCCAATTGTTGCAAGGCTTCAGATCACACCTGGAGCATTTTAGAGTGAGGTCTTTTATTTTGAAAAGCTTTTCTCTGTGTGACCTGCTCTATTGAACTTCAAACAACTTCTGTTGAGAAGCTGCCACTGGAGTGTTTCTGAAACACGCGGCAGCACATTAGTTAGAATTGCCGGCATTAATGCGAGTTGGCGGGATAAGCTTCAGCGCCTGCGTCAGAGCTGAAATGCGACCCAGCGGCGCCCCGTGCATTCTCACGGTTAGGCGTGAGACCAGTCGGACTATAAACGCTACATGTGTTTCATGGAACTGACGCTAAAGGAAACCTGAAGCATAACTTGCAGTACTGTGTTGAGAGTGCAGTTTAGAGTGACCCCGTGAAATGCACGGCTCACTGCACGCATTCATGACCATGACCGGCTTCCACCTGGTGCACTGCGGTGCGTTTCAGAAGCAGCGTTCTGTACTGCATCTCTGAAAATAACCTCAGATCTCAAGATGCATACAGAAACTACAGAGAGAATTTCAAAATAAAAGACCCCTGCTTCCAAAATGCTCCTGGTGTGACGTGAAGACCAGTGAAGAACGGAAGAACACCTGGTGAAGTGCATCATGTTGTGCTCAAACTGAGCTGTTTGTGATGAGCTTGGAACAAAAGTGACTTTTACTGAAAGACGTTATTAAAGTATTGATCAAATTTTGGAGTCAAATGTCAGATTTATGAGTATAAATCAAGCATTATGGCTTCGAATGAACAGCAGTACTTGGTAATGAGAACAGCCTCAAATAATTGATTATCAGCTAGGATAACTCAATATATAACTAAAACATGAAGACATGAATAAATATGATTAATAGCATCCCTACCGTTTAAATAACTATCAATTTAACTATGATTTGTTTTTAAATGTTGGTTATTATAAAGTGTTAGCTTGTCATCATCTTTAATAACTGATAAAAATATAATTCAAAATGTATAATATATATTTATCACGCTAATAAATATTACTATATAATATACAGGAAACTGAAAACTCTGTGTGATTCTGTTTTCTTATCACATCTGCAAGCTTAAAAGAAACAAAAAGTTCCTTCCTTCATGACAAGACTAAAAAAAAAAAAAAAAAAAAGAACAGCGAGGTCCTGTCCTCCTAAATGAGATTAAAGACATGCTGACAGGCCTCTGGTCCTTCACAGATGCAGATAGGAGACGCCTAGTGCGTCTAGTTTCCCAAAGGGAAAATAAAAATAAATTAAGATTTAAATGCAGCCCTCTCCAATAACAAACAAACCTTAAAAGCAGCAGATAAAAAGCAGCAAACTCACCACTATGCTGTTGGCCTGTTCGTCAGCAGCTTCCTGCATCAGGCTGGTCAGCTGACTGAGGTACTTCTGGTTCTCCTGCAGGAGTCGTGGGGCAGCATCACTGAAGGAAACGCACACAATTCAGACACAATTCAGTCACATGACGCCTCCTTCATATGCACAATGTGTTTACTATCTTGCAACAGAAAGAAGAACGCCCAAGGGCAAAACACAAAGCACTGGCCTACAAACTATATATATGGCAGTATGTTCATGCTTCAGTCATGTGCACAGTTATTATTATACTAACAGTTTAGCTAACACAGGCTGGAAATGTAATGAAGAGAACAGGCTGAAATAATATTTAGAAAAATGAAAAAGATAATGTACCAACTACGAGCATTCTGAAAACACTTTTCCAAATGCAATGCTCCAATGCACAGGATCTTCCTCAGGCATGCGTCTTTTTTAATGCTTCATAAAAACAAAACTATTATGACTCAATTATTGTACATATTCCAGGTCCCAAAAACTAAGTCCAGCTTTTGCCTGCAGTCCAGCTTGTACAGCTCCCTGCTGGTGAGCTCTCCTCCCAGGTCTGGCAGGTGCTGCAGCTCTGTTTTTTGAGTCATGTGGGTCATTTGAATCATTCTTCATCTTTCTTTGAAGATTTTCTGGGAAAAGCCAGCTGGGTGGAGACCTCAGACCTCTAATAAAGGTAGACCTAGGAATAACTCAGGATCGCCCCAGGTGGAATTGGAAAATGTTGCTGGGGAAAAGAACCTCTGGCAGGAATACATGCTTAGTCAGCTGCCAACAAGCCCAAACTTTAAAAGCAGAAGGAAAAAAAAGAAGGATGGAGGGATTTCATGACACACGAGTCATTCCTGGAACTGTGACAGACATATGACAGGAACAAAGATTGCCTGTGGCGTCTTAACTCCTGGGAATCTTCTGTTGCATTGCACAGCTAGTCACAACCTTTAGAGTGTCGCGTTTTTAGAGCTTTTCCAACGCTTCAAAATGACCTGGTGTGCCAAATAAGTGCCAAAACGATCCATTAATAAACAGTTCATAGGGCTTAAAGACCTGAAACAACCATGACCCCCAACCAGCCAGCAACTGGTAAGAGAGACTGAATAAAGCTTCAGTCTCTCTGGAACATCAACAGGGAGTTGATGCACCAGTTAGGAAGGATTCACACGTTCACTTTGGACATGGCGATCTGATCGACTGCATTGATTCAAGCTCCAGCACCACAGCTGGTTAGCTTCAGGTTACTTTAGCTGTACCCATGGGCAGATATGACCTGCACTCAGCGAGTCATCCATCCTCAAATGCAGTTAAAAAAATAAAAAATAAAAAATCAGACAACAATATGAGACATAATGAGGAAAACATACCAACATCATGTAGGAAATGAAAGATATGATTAATAGCTACTGGAACAAAGCTGTTTGTATCGTTCTCTTCTCAGTTTGAGACCGACCGAGTCCAGCTGTGGCTCAACAATCAGCCCGTCAGACCACTCAACAATTTGGCTGAGTGAGTCAAATCATGACCATTTGTCGAGAGAGGAAGATGTCTGTGAAGTCTTTTGTTTTATGTGAGATTTCCTGTATATGAACAGGAAATTACTAAGCTGTTTTTATTCACATATTCACATCCACATTCACAAACAGGTACCTCACCGTGTCGACACTTCCTTAGTAATTTGGCACCAAGTGAAATAAACTACCAGCTGTTATCAATGCTGAAGGTGCTTCTGCTGAATTCTATGTTAAAGGAGTGTGAACATCTCACTTGTAGAGCTGACCCCAGTCCCAACACGGCTGAGTGGACGTTACCTGTCATTTGGCCCTGGTAGGGAGGTCAGGGGGTGCGGGGAGCTGACGGGCTGTGCCGACTGGGACCACTGAGAAACCTGCAGCAGGTTGGACGACTCGGGACTGGCTGCTATCGAGCTCCGTGACGAGTTCTGAGCCTGAAGGAGAGACAGAAACACACCGTTACAGGCAGCAGTAAAAAACACGCCTCCCCTCTCCTACAGCAGGAATGCAGGCGGCACACCCTACCGCTCACTCTGTGTTTGGTACTTTATAGCAGCTGAGTCTGAGGAGATCACAGAAAGTACAACAAAGCTCACCACCACTGGGTCTGACAACTGCAGAAAAGGGAATCAGAAAATGAATAAGTGAACTTAACCTATTCCAGGATATTACCAGGATCCAGCTCCAGCAATTAGAGGACTTCCTTTTTTCTTTTCTTATACACCAGTACACTAAATTTATCTGAGCTGGATGCTGATCAGACAAAACTTCTGATATTCTGTAGAATCAGAGAAAAGCTGATGACATTTTATTCTTAGTTGTACATAAATAGTTTTATCCAGCAGTTACACAACTTCCCCCACTTCTTTGCATCATGCCCCACACTACATTTCAAAGACAAATGAAGTCACAAACTTGGAAAAAGTAGACCGGGCTGCTAACGACTGATGTAGATTTACTCACGCAGGCGATCTTAAGTAAGTGCCAGAACTCCCTCTGTCTCTTGATCTGCATCTGCATCACGGTGTTGTCAGCGTCCTTGATGTTCTCCAGAGTTTTGTCAATCCGGGGAAACAAGTCAATGATCTTCTGTTTGCTGATCAGGATTTTACTGTTGGGGTGAGACAAATCAGGGAAAACAAATGATGTTTTCCACCGTCACTGTGACTCTTTAGACAGACTCAGTGTAGACCTCACACCGGGGATGGATTCAAGTTCTGGAGTAATTTATGCTCCAAAAGTTTCCTCCTCAGCAGGGAGGGAGTAACTGAAAATTCAGGGGGTAAAGTCTGCAGCTTAAACTTTCCTTAATACCAGCAGACGTTTTATGTGTTTAAGAGCCGTCACTTCTTTATAAATCAGTGGGTTAATCTAGGCCCTGTCCTCACATACACGGGATTTTCATCTACACATAAACATTATTTCATGTCACTGAACTTTAGATAAACTCCTTCCAGGGTCAAGATTTCTATAATCTCTATTTCTGTGCTTACTTGTGGGCGAGGAACATGAAGACTTTTCTTGCAATATCAAGGGTGTGCACTGTGTTGTTGTTTGCAGGCTTTTGACTGGTCAACATGAATCTATGAATTGGGGTTATAGTGTCACCTTTTGCTTTGGCGGCACTTGATACTGTTATTTGCATTTTCATGTGGATGGAGATGAGTAGGAAAACATCTGAACCTGTGGATTCAGCATTAACCTGCCCTGAGAGAACATATAAGTTCCTCGAGATAGGTTAAAAAAATAAAATAAAAAATAAAAAAGTACTACAAATATGCATTACTAGTACCGTGGCACTTAAGAACAAATAAGTGTATGAGACCACAGATAATTAACAGTAATCAGAGGTGTAAAGCTCAGGGTGAAATCAAACTGTCAAGCATGGGTGGACCCTCACCTGAGGTGTGTGAACAGATCTTTGAGGACTTTGTCTTGGTTCTGGACTGTCTGGATGATGGCCTTCACCATCTCAGAGCTGTCGCAGCTCACATCAGAGTCAGGTACTAACCAAAGGGGGTGGGGGGGGGAGTTTAAACAACACCTCAGTTTAAAGAATGGATTAATTTCTCTTCTGATTTCAGAGTTTTAAATGATCCATTCAACGTTTCTTACCTTTGCATTTCATCTTCAGTTGCTTGTAAAGTTCGATTGCCTTTTCTTCCCTGCAAAAAATTATTTTATCACATTAAAATGTTCTTCTTTGAATTCTGAAGCTAAGCTCATGATCAGATTACTCTCTGAAGTTGCATGTTTAAAAACACCACTGGTATCCTCTCCATATGTGTTGAAGACAGGCACTGGTCAGAACTTTCACAGCAGCACCAAGGACGGTTTTTAATTTAAAGTGGCACGCTTTCAATCCAGTGCATGACGTGACAGCAATTCACAGGATTTACAAAAGAAAAAGTAGTAAACTTTTACCCAACAGCAAACTAGTTTGATCGACTAAAATGTAGAGCAAAGTCTTTTCCCTGTGGAGTGAAGCAAGATGCATACATCCAGGTGAGGTTACACCAGCACTTCAGCACTTCATTAAGCTGTATGAAACTTCAGCCACATCCCTTATCTTCACTGCGATTATGTTTCTTTATTAACTTGGTGATATGTTGAGGTCTGGCCTACATGGGGGTTTCTGCTGTATCATTTACTGAAGGAGGACAGCGAGGCTGTGGTGAACCGGGTCTTTAGACCCTATGTTACTAAAAAGAGGAAGAGCACCGAGCCCATCATTATGTCTCTACTGTCAACAGTCAACACCAGGATCAGAAACTTTCCCACAGAGCCAAGGCTAACCTGGTGAAAACACATTTTTTAAAGAAGGGGCACTTTAAGCTTTCACTGTGCACAGCTGCACATAACTGCAATGACCCCAGTTAGAGTTCAGCTGGGGCTCGTTACTGCATCTGGTACTTCCTAACGTGCGTTCAGACCAAATGTGTTCAAAACACACAAATATTTCCTTCCCACAGTCGACAGGAGAACAAGGAGGAGTACAACCAACGGCTGGAATCAAGTTACAGTCACATATTTTCAGCAGTTACCACAAAATGCAATAATTTCACTCACTTTTCTCCAAAGCAATCTCCTTTTTCCTTTTCCCTGCTACTATCTTATAAAAAAAATTCGAATAACACAGCTCTGTCCACAAATGGAGCCAACAAGCTTGGCCTTCGTTTATTATCAGCAATGGCGTCTGGAGAATCTACAGACACGATTACACTCATGTACAGAAGGAAAAGACAATGAGAGGGCTTGGAGGAAAATAAATGAAATCCTAGGACTTCATGCTTATTCCCACTGAGTCAGGAGAGTCCACTCTGTGAGAGATTCTGAGGTGGCAGGCTTTGATGACACAGCATGAAGTGGATTTTTCACTGAAGTTGGATATTTGAGCTGTGGATGGGGATTTGCCTCCATTTACATCACCTGACATGTATTCTCATTAACGTTGCTACAGACTTTGTAGTCCTGCATAAACTTCACTTTATGTTTGGCTGAACATGGTTGAAATGATGATGTTATCTCCGGGTTAACCTGTTTTAATTAATTTATTTGTTTATTTTTAGTATAAATAAAAGATTTTAAGCCAATTTTAAACACTGCCTCTCTGCTCCCGACCTCATCTTTATAAATTTTGATGTGACAAGCTTAGTGTCTTCGCATCAGCAAAGCTTTTATTTTGGAGGCATTTTTCCAACCGTAGAGAAACGTCCGCCAGCTGATGGTCAGTCAACATCGAACTGTTTGCTGTACCTTTTCTCTGCGCGTGTTCTCAAGATCTCAAAGTAAATGAACTTTTTCACTGACAAAAATCTGCCAAGCTCATGGTGGCGTGGTTAGTGGTCTAAAGTTGCCTCACAGCAAGAAGGTTCGTGACTCAAACTTCCTGGTCAGCTTCTCATTCTTCACCTTCTTGCCTTTTTAAGTGCTGTTTACACATTTTCCCTGTGCCTGCATGCTTTTTCTCCACAGTCCAAGTTTATTAGTGTTTTCTTTTACTGGACTTGGGTGTAGACCGTGGAGCTCACGTGCCCCCTTTATATGAGTCAGCACAGCTTTTTTTACTGAGATAAAGTCTCACATCATGACTGGCTCTAAAACTCTGAAGTCTAAGGAGCTTGGAAAGAAAAGCGACTGGATTTATTTAAAGGAGAAATAAAAGAAGTCCTTAAATTACCATGGTGATGACTGAGAACTTACACAGTGATCTAAAGTCAAAACTTTAATTTATACTGCTTTGAATCGCTACAGAGTCTTTGTAAAGTGATCCTTTGTCATTTCTGCATGTAGATGTGCATTTTCTCTCTTTAGAGATGCAACATGTGGTTACATCTCTACGAAGGTGGATGTAAGGTTACAGTGTAAGTTATAGCACAGGACATCAGAACAGGTTGTGGTTACAATATACCTACAGTACAGATTTAACGCAGACGTACAAATTTGCTTGTAAATAGTCTGACTTTTAATACATTGCTGTTAGGAAATACTGTCATCATGGGGTTCGTTTAGATTAACACGTCACCGTCTTTTGCTGCCTATGAGGAAATTCCAAGCTAGTATAAAGTCACAAGCTTTACACAAACTTTTGTGGAATGACTAAAACTTCCTAAAACGAAATAAAACGAATAAAAGTTGCCGCAATGACAAAGACCGGGAAACTTCCACTAACTAGATAAAGGTAATGAACGTATGCAGGGCTTTTGTTTTTCCCCAGTTATTTCGTCAGTTATAAGCGCACAGCTCAGAAACAAACGTGCATGTTGATAGAGGATTTTTAGAGACAAAAAAATCGGAGTAAACACGTTAAAAAAAGTTACTGGGGAAAAAAAGGAGAACACATAAAAATATGAAGATTTCTGTATAATTAAATATAGATGTCAGTTTCCTTTATGATCACTGTGGTAAGGCAATTGGGAGCATCGCACTGAAATAAAACATATTTGTCCTTCACGTGTTAAATGCCTTTCAGCATTAGTAATGTGTCCCATATTCTTTCACACAATTGTCCTCTTTGTCCCACATTTATTTGTTGCGATCTCGACCTCTTAGTCATGAAGGAAGGTTTTTTCTTCCCTCAATGTTATACATCTGTTTGTTCGTCCAAACAGAGCTGGAAACCTTCTGGAAAAATTCTCCATCATGACATTTATGCACACCACACAACCATCCTTACAAACTGGTGACTGAGTGGACTGTAAACAGGCAAGAAGCCGGGAGTCAAATTTAGATGCATTTCCATGTGCTCTGTACACAAGTCCAAAGCATGTTGCAAACATTCAAAGTACATCAGTATACAGTCAAAGTGTGTGTCATATTTGAAATATTTAGTGTGCATGTAAATGTATTCATGATGTAGGATTGTTTTTGGCACCGTCCGGTCATTTCCTCAGGTGAACCGGGGACAACCAAAGTGTCAAAATCATCTGTAGACACCATTATGCACACCAACCAAAAAGAATCAAAGGCCAACAAGTGACTGTTACTTATGTCTTTTAAATTAGGTGAAATGTGGGATTTAGATGGCTCTTGATAAATGTCCACAGATTAAATCATCTCAGGTTAAACCCTTTTAATACTCACAGCTGCTCCATCTTGTCTCCTTGGCGTCGGGCATATGGGCTCCTCTGTAGTTCTACTATCTCAGAGTGCAGAGCCATGATCTCATCATCCAAATGGCTCACCTCTGCCACCTGCAGGACAGACAACGGATCAACCAAAGGCTGCTTTCGGAAGCCTTTGCACTGGTAAACATCACAGTGATTCCTACACGTGTTCTTTATTAAACTGAATTTAATACATTTATCCAGGCAAATGTTTTCATTAGCAAAGTGCTTCGAACTGAGCCTCCTCAGTGACTGTGATCCTGCAGATGAACATCAACTCCACCATCTTGGACTGCAGTAGGTGAAGGTAGTCCTTGTTCTGGTCTGCAGCCCTCACTGTAGGTCAGGGGATCACCTAAGAAGTGACTTTGGAACCAGAAGAACTACTCTCACCAGCTGCAGTCCAAAATGAGAGCAACCTGGTAAACCTACTGCAGTAAACCAGTAGGAAAAAACAAAAAACATGAAAGAGCCTGGACTAGCTGGTTAGCAACTACCAGTCTGTATCTTATTTTTAAGAGATGAGTTACCTGAGCAAAAGCTGCAGCTCTTTCTTCGTTCTCCTGCCAGGCTTTCAGCATCTTTTCTGAGGCTTTGGACAAATCAGACAAATGTGAGCTCACCGAGCACCCTACAACATGTTTACTGAAACAAAGAGCAAACAGCTGCCAGCAAACACTCACATATGCCATAATGCATCTGATCGCTGTATTTTTCCAAGTCATATTGGATGCTACTCTTGAAGAAATCCAGCTTAGCTTTGAGCTGCTGCGAGAAGCCGAACATGCTGTTTTTACACCTGGTCAGGTTGGTGTTGTAGCGGAGGAGGCTCAACCTTGAGGGGGAAGGAGGAGATGGTAAAATCAGAAAGCTCCAAGAGGAAGGCGGAGGACTGAAGAAGACAGGCTGACAGTCCAGCCACAGCTAAAGCTTCCAGAGGAGCAACAGTCACAAGCACCAGAGTGTGAGGAGCAACACAACAGAAAGTTGAATTCAAACTAGGACTCGGGAAGAATTACACTGGAAAATAAGCAGAGCTGAAGGGTGTGTACGACACTACAACTATATTCAGCTGACAACTAAATCATTGCTCTAAATATTCAACCAACAGTTAAATGTTGGAATAAAATTTACAGAAAATGTTTAGATGGGTTTCTTCAGGGCTCAACTTTAAGGCTTCGAGGTAAAAATAATAAAACCTGGACCAACAAATGCAATTACTAAAACTATTAAATTTTTTTTTTTTGTTTACAAAAACTTGCAGATAAATAAGGAGATGCTGGGATTCCTAGCTACTAAGCAGAAGTCGTGAGTGTAACAAAGAGAAATGATTTAAATAGCATAAACAGAATTGAGAACCGGTTTCAGTTTTGAACCCGTTTTAAGTGAGCCACCGTGCTGAGACTCGGTGCCCAGCGCCTTATCACTTTCTTTCATAAATGTTGGTGTGTCACATTTCAAAACAATGATGTCAGCCTAATAACAGTTGGCTTTTTGTACACATGAGTCACCAGGAAGTTAATTTCTTTCCTGCTCCATTTCTACACTTTGTCCACACTCAGAAAATAATGCAGGTATCTAAAGCCTGTGTAAGTGTGCTGCTGGATAAGAGCAGAAATCATAATCTATTTTATTTTGGTTAATCTTGATTAGTAATTAGGATTACTTCATAACTTAGTCCACAAAAATATCTTTTTAAAGGAGATTTCTTGGAACTCAATTTAAATAATAATAAAAAAACACCACATAAAAACCATAATTTTGACCGTACGGCCCATCCTTTGAGGGCAACCACCGACAGACGGGAGCAACATGTGGCCCAAACGGCAGTAGGCTCACGTGCACTGAAAAACCAACATAGTAGCCACATTGAGAGAAACAAGGAACCAAGAGTCAACCAATACCTCACACAGCACGTACAGAAGTGGATTATGCAAGAGTAAAAGGAATCTGGATGCAACCATTAATGGTCCACTCACACGTTCACGCACAGTACCCTTATACCACTTTCAGTTCTTCTGCTTCTGCTTTTTTGTTCTGGCTGGTGCTGAACATAATTGTTTAAAATTATGAACTAAAATTAAAGTCTAATATAAACAGAGCTACTGATGCACTACTGATACTGATGAAGTATGGTGTCTTTTCATCCGTAGCAAACACAGAGTATTATTTCCTCCTCAGAAAAGAAAAACTAATATTATTAATTTGATATGAAACTAATATCGGTCGTTTTATTTCTGTGTTTGACAATAACTATTCTTCACCAAAACCACAACATCTGGTTGTACGCTGCTAGGATGTAACATAAAACACTCTTAATGAAAAAGCTCAACTTACACTGTTTAATATTTAAATAGCACAGACGCATAAAGCTGATGTTATTTCTGAATCCTGTCATGGATTCACATTGTAAACCATGATCTGGGCTAAAGCACATCACACACGATTGTTATGGGACTCACATGGCAGCTCTCTGCCCCTGGAAAAGTCTGCTGTAGTCATCTTTCAGGCCACAGATGTAGCTCACAGCTTCACCCCACACCTTCTTCATCACCACCAAAGGCAGCTGCGTCTTGGCATCTTGCACTGGGAAAATAAAAACCATGAAAGTTTTTATACAGAGCAGAAGAGAGCCAACACTGTCATGTAACAGTCCTTTTCATTTCAGAAACTGGAGTCACTTCATATGAACTCACCAATGGTGTTGACTTTCTCAGGCAGACGTCTGGCACTGAAGGGGCCGGTGTACTTGGTGATGCTCTTATCAAACAGGTAGACAATGTAGCTGTCCCACCCTCTCTACACAGGAGGAAAGAAAACCATTACAAAGATCTCAAGTAGTGTTTTTACAACTCAAGAGAGTGACTTCAAGTCTCTCAGAATAGATGCAGTTAGAGGGAAATGAGTCATGATTATTGATAGATGTAGATTTTTCTAAACACCGTTGCTTGATGTTGTATATGCTCCAATAAGCAAACCAAAACATAGCACAGGTTGTTTTTTGCTTTTTTTTTTTGCAGGTAACAGAACGTAATCATGCATGGGTAAAACAAACAATCAAGATTTTCAGCCCTGTGATTTGTGACAGATCGAACTGATTTACAGGTGCTGAAGCAGACACTTATAGGTGTCATATAGTGACGTAAACAAAACCCTAGCAAACCCCACAGTGATTCAAGACTACATCATGTGATATTTATATATTCATGTTGCTGTGATCGTATGGATTATTTATTTATTTAATAAAAAAAAACTTTGGTAAAGCCACTGGTGTCACAGGCCTGAAATACTTTCAGTTTAGTGACCCTCCACCACTGGTACTGCTGTTGGTGCACAGATAAAACACAGCTACATAACATTAAGTGAACAGATGGACAACACGGCCCTTTGTCACGGACACCCGATGTAGGAGAGACAGGATCAGGCCAATGGATGTATCCCAAAATATAAAGACAGCATGGCCAGGGATAGCAATCAGTGAGGAACACCGCCAATAAGCTGCAACTTTAGCTCCTTGGATAACAAGATGAAGATGATGATGATTTTTTAATTCATCAAAAAACTCAAAGCTGTTATGTATGATTATTTTAATAATAAGTTATTGTACATCATCACGTGTGATTTTAGATTTAAAATCCTTTCATTCATCTAAACAGTGGTTAAATCAACGCACCACTCCATCCAGGACACACTGTGCAGCGGGCTTCCTGGGGTCCAGTGACACTCCCGTCTCCTGCAGCAGTTCCTGGTTCACCACCTCGATCTTGGTCTCAGCTTCGATGCGCTTCTGCAGACTGTGGAGACTCTCGTCAGGAGTTAGCTGGAAGGAGTGGACCTGCGCTGTGGTCATGTTCAGGATGTGGACGACCTGAAAACAGAAAACCCGTCAGTATAAACTAAACTACTTCGTGATCTATCATTTTCTGCAGTATGTATCGCGGTACATGGGCCAGCAGAGGGCTGCAAGAATCTAATTATTCTTAATATTGATTAACTGCTGCCTCACCAAAGAGCTGGAATTAATTTATTACTAAAAACTGGCAGATGGGGAGGGCTGTGACAGCCAAGGCCAGCCAGTTCATTTTTATAAAGATTTCAAGTTGTTAAATGTTATGTTTGGTGAAAGCTCTAATGTGTAGCATAAACTGGAAATACTGGAATTCTTATTAACAACCCTCACTCATCCCAACACACTTACACCACTTTCCCACAAGAAGACAAAAGAAACCAGAACATGGATTTGGAGAATTGCTACACAAACAGTACAATACATGTGTGTGCTTGTGTTTTGACAGCATTACTCCACTGAGACTTTTGGCCTCTGTTATGTCACAGAGAAGATGCTTTTAAATGAGGTGGGATTACAGGATTGTGTCAGATATGGGGAAGAATATAAAATCTCCACAGCACTGAAACATTCGAGATTTTGTTGCAAAACCAAACTGAACAAGAACCCAGTGGTCACTGTGAATGAGGCCTGGAGCTCCTTTGCGTAGAAGCAGCCCATCACTAATCACATATTTACGGTAGAGTAGCGAGAAGGAAACCAGAACAAGTGAAATCCTCTGGTCTGGTTTATCTACCTGCACAGTTTATAATGACGTTTGTGAAGGACAATGTACAGACTCTGCATCACCTCATCAATACTGTTCCTAAGTCAGTTTTTCCCTATTACAGGAACTGAGACACTAAGTGGGAGAAAGTAAAGGATGGGTATATAAAAATATGGGTAATCCTGAGCACAGAAAAACAAAAACAAACATTTCCCCATTGGCTAAAAAACAAAAAACAAACAAACAATCAAGGTTTCTATTTCAATATTTCTAACAAGACAACAGAAGTTTCCAGACCAAACTCCCTTAAAAAAGGTTGGCATAGAGTTAATCCCAAGAAGATCCGAGTCCTCAAGTATGGGTCTAAATATGTACATCACAAGTTTGCAAGCTTTACTATCAACATTTATCGCCACAAATCTGTAAAGACCTATAAAACATATTCAAATGACTAAATAACCTTTGAACATGACTTGTACTTCTATATCTATAATAAGTTTTTCTGGAATTTGAAACATCATCAATAATCAATATTGTTTAGTTTTAAAATTATTTCTGATACTAACAAAACAGAAAAAAATGTGACAGATTTTTAAAAAACGCTGCGTATCTCTTAGCATGTTTAGGCCTCCTTTAAATGTCACTTTGGATTTTACCTGTGTTTGTGTAAACTGCAAAAACCTGCCGTGTGGGTGGTGACCGTTAAGTTACGTACAGGTGACCCATGTTGAATGTGACGTGCGGAACAAATGCAAACAGAGAGCATAACAATAAAAAGAATTTCGATTTATAATAAATCTTAAAAAGAAAAATAGATGACAATAATTCCTGTATGAGTGACAATGATGGTGCACAGCTTCTTTCTTTCAGATTGGCCCACCAAACATACAAACGCTACAATCAGTCCAGTGAGATTAGCAGTAAAATGCCTAAAAGTAGTGAAAGCTTCGGTGGCAGCTTTAGTATTTCTTGTCTTTATAATTTTAAGATGAGAAAAATAAAACACTAAAACTTTCTAGGGCACTGCGTGTCATTGCAAATTACTGACTGAAGAGCCAGCTCTTCCAGTGCCTCACCTTCATAATCAGTATCTGATCAAGGAGTTCAAAGCACAGGGGTTTCTTGGTTTCATGGTTCACTTGGCCTCCTCTGTGCACTGGATCCCACTTTAACATCAGCTGAAGCAGCGCCTCCATCGGCTCCAACAGCGTCCTGTACAAAACCGGTTAAAACATTTAAAACAGGTCTTCAGGGAGGGTAATTAACAACAACCACAGTTCACATGCTCTCGGCTATTTTGCGTTCCATTTAAATTACTATAGCACAACACCATGAAGAAACTAATTTGTCCTCACAGGGGACAAACAGCTCAATAAAATAAGGAAATGTCTCAGTAAAAATGATTGCAGCTGACCTGCTGAGATTGTTGGGGTAGGGGAGATGTGTGGAGAACTTGACTTCTCCGTTTAGTTCTTCTACTGCCATGATGTCTTTTGGACCTTTATTCCTCACTTTGCTGGCCCTGAAGACAAGATCAGAAAGGATCAATACCAAATTCTTTCAATACAAAGTACTAGAAGTACTTAGAAGATGCAGTTCTCAATGTACCTCAGTCGAATTAAAGCACAAACATGTGATGTAGAATAAAATCTGACGTGAGAACAGAGCTGGGCTCCTGCATACTCTACTCAGACATCTGACTCATCTAATTTCCAGTAGCGCATACATTAGTGACACAGACTAGGATCAACTTACCACTGCACAGGTTGCAGGTTGTGTAGGAATGGACGGAAACCGCAACTGCACTCGAAGATCATTGTTCCGAAGCTCCAATAGTCCACAGTCACAGTGTACGGTTTATTCTCAAAGAGCTCAGGAGCCTGGAGAGAGGAAAAAAAAAACAACAACAGTGTTTCGTGTTTTCATAAAACACGAAGTGATCTTTTTTAAAGACTTATTTGGCATTTCCATCCTTTATGTGACAGTAGAGTCGACAGGAAAGTAGAAAAGGGTGGAAGGAATGACCCACAAGAAATGATCTCAACGTGAATCCACGGCCCTGCAGCAGCCGTGGGTCAGCCACTCATCCAGGTAAACTGTAGTGGAGCCCAGAACCTGCAAATTGGCTATTTTTTTTTAATATATATATTAATACAGTCATTTTTATGTATTTAATGAAGCCATCCAAAGTGTTATCTTTTGTATTTACACCCTCAATATTATTTCAGAGTTACAGGCTGACTTTGTACGTAGGGGTGAGTTGAAATGTTACCATTTTTATTAGTTTTTACTTTTTGAGCCTTCATGACATCTTTTTCAGAGAAAGAAACAAGATGTAAAAATATACATAAAAAATAAAATAAATAAACTGCCACTATATCAGGTTAACATCTGATCCAAGTATCACAATCTATAATGCTACAATCTTGGTTTTTTTTCCATAGCCACCTTTGAGCATCAGTATCATGAGATGCCATCATATCTGTAAGAAAACTGCACCAATTCAATGTTTATGACACAGACAAGAGACGAGCATTGCCACCCTGGATGTATGTTATGTTTTCTGATAGTTCACTGGAGAAAAATGAGTTTTTTAAGGGTTATATCACCATGTGGTTGGTCAACAAGTTACATCATATGACAGGTCTGCTTTTTCACCTACAGGCTTGTCTTCTAGCCATGATGTGTTCTAAGTCAAGATAATTTTCTGATATAGTCATATTCAATTATTTAACACTCCTGAATGTAGCACGTGGCTATGAGCTGAAAAAAAAACAATACAGGTGTTCACATTTTTAATTTATTAAAAAACTTTTAGTCCTAAAAAGGTTTTTCACAATTCTTTCAGCAAATCAAAGGGCCTAAAATTATAGAGCTAGTGTCTCGAGATCAATATACTGATGTTATTACAGAAATCAAGCTGCCTATAAAGAGGTGAGGTGGGAGGCACAGATTGATTTTTCAGAATGACCCTGTTCAGTCATTTCTATAAAAAGGTAGAAAGTAAAGTCAAGGATTTAAAATCTATAATTACTATAACACATAGCACATAACATACACTATCTGAGGATAAATAAATGTTTGCTTTAAGTGTTTACCAGGTACTGAAGTGTGCCAACGAATGAAGTGCACAGACTCCCCTGGTCCAGGTCTTTAGCATAGCCCAAGTCGATAATCTTGTGAACCAACTGCAGAATAAAAAAATAAATTAAAAAAAAGAGTATATTTCAGTTGAGCAGTCAAACAGAGCGGGCTGTGAATGAGAGGGAGACGGGTCTTAATGTGGACATACAAGGAGCAAAGATAGTGAAGGTAGAGGAGTTTAAATACCTGGGGTCAACCATACAAGAAAAACACACAGTGCACAAGAGAGGTGAAGAAGAGAATGGAGTGGGTGGAGATGGGTGTCAGGGAGGGTTTGTTTACAAGATGGTAGTGAGACCTGCTGTGATGTCTCAAGACTGTGACACTGACAAAAAGACAGGAGGGCGAGGCGAAGATGTTAAGAGCGACCAGGATAGACAGGATTAGAAACAAGTACATCAGAGGACAGCTCAGAGTTTGAGAGGCAAGGCTGACAAGGGATAGTAGATATATTGGATAAAGGATCCTGAAGATGGAGCTGCCAGGCAGGAGGAAAAGAGGAGGACGTCAGACAAGATTCATGGATGTGGTGAAGGAGGACATGTAGAGGGTTGGTGTGACAGGAGAAGATGCTAAAGATGATATGGAGGCAGATCTTCAGTGGCGACTCTTAAAGAGAGCAGCTGAAAGAAGAAGTAGTCAAACAGAGCAGTCAAAAAAAGGGAAGAGTAGCTGGTTTACCTTCCCGTTGATGTCTTGTAGCACAATGTTTTCCGGTTTAAGATCTCTGTGTATGATCTTGTTTTCATGGAGATACTGGATACCGGATCCTGGAGCAGAAGTCAGACTTAATCAAAGCCAATGACATGTTAAAAGAAGAAATGTCTGAATGAATAAGCCGAACAATGCACATACCAACATCATTAAGTAATGAAAGCACTTCACTTTCTTTCAGACCGCAGCAGTTTTCAGGTTTGCTCAGCACCTGCAAATCAGGAAAAAGAAATCCTATCAGAGCTGCGGTATTTTTTAGAACATGTGACCAAAGGGTGAGAAATGTTCTGAAATTAAGAAGTCTGATATGATGTGCTTATTTTCAAATTCTATTTATCTTTGTGTGTGTACTTAATGAAATGTATGTCTTATATAACTCACTTTAAACAATCTTGTTGAAAAGTGCTATATAGATAACATCAGCTAACTTCACACTATCACTCCATATATTACCTTCTATATATTGGTCACTGTGTGCAGTGGCCTCTATATTTCACACTTTTGATTTTACTTTATGTGAAATTCAGGAGCGGGACCACACTCCAAACACTACCTGCCTCACACACCTGTTTATCATCCTCTTTTATAGGTGCCAGGCTCTGGTCTTGCTCACTGTTTCTCATTAATCTGTTGCCTTTGTTATCTTTAAACATTTTTTTTTTCATTATATTTTGAGTTGTGGTCAGGGCTTGTGAAATATGACCCTGGTCAGTGACTTAAATCCACATACCAATAAAGGCTTCTGATCCTTACTTTTAGCCTGAATTTATTCACATTTTGTCACACTGGAGCCACAGAAAGCACGCTGAATTTCCTACTAAAAGCTTGTTCGCTGTGCACCCATGACTCCCCACAAAACTATCATTGGACAGAAAATATTACAGCTCTCTGGCAAAGTCTGCTGCATATTTTTTCTGATTTCTAAACTCTCCAAATAATATCAATCCCATCTAAATGACCCCCCCCCCCTCACCTTCCTCAGGTCTCCTCTGGAGCAGTACTCCATGGCCAGCAGTGGAAGATCATTTAAGGCTATGGGCTCCACCTCCTCTGGGACCTCCTGGGCTGTCACGATATTGATATGATTTAACCTGAGTGAGAGATATGGAACCACATTACTTTTTAAAGACATCCAGACAGACTTCTGCACAGTCATCCACTGTCTGCATAACAGTGCAACTCATTCTTGCATCTGCAAGCCTGTGGGTTTCACAAATTGATTAATAACTACCAATAACTGTGAAGAAGATCACACTGTATAAAGCCAGAGTTCTCAGAAGGCCCACAACAAGGAACAAGGAAAGAAAGCTCTAGTGCAAACTTAATTTTATCTGTTCACACATTGTGTCATGCTGTCTGCTTGTTAAGTCTAACGTCATTCACCATTTCCTTGTGTAAAACTTCCTTCAGCTCCAGATTGCTCCAGCTACAGATTAGTTAGGCTAATATAAGCACATTATCACCATGGAGATGTCAGATGAGGGTTGAATCACTTTTGTTTGTTGCCAGATCAAAGCGGACATCTCAAATGATTTAATATTCTTGGTAATAAATATCCTAAAAGCAGACTTATTAATTTTTCAATCTGCACTCTTCTTCTTTCGGCTGCTCCCATTAGGGATCGACACAGCAGATCATCTGTCTCTATCTAAAACTATCCCTCATCTTTTTCTCTCACACCAACCGTCTGCACGTCTTCCTTCATTACATCCATATCTCTCTGTGGTCTTGCTCTTTTCCTCCTGCCTGGCAGCTCCACCTTCAACATCCTTTTTTCCAATATATCCTCTATCCCTCCTCTGCACATGTCCAATCCATCTCAGCCTCGCCTCTAACTTTGTCTTCAAACTGCTCAACCTGAGCTGTCCCTCTGATGTACTCTACTCTAATCCTGCCTTTAACATCTTCCTGTCTTTGCTTTGTTAGCTGTAATTCCTTCAGTGTAAAACAGACTTGGAAGCAAATGAGGATCAGGCTACATCAACAACACAATACATTTAAATTCCTTTGATGCACAGCTTGAGCTGCTGTAAATACTGCACACCTTCATCCTGCAGTGTTAACGAAAACCAGCTTAGCAGGTTTCATATCCAAAAGGTGATCCTCAGCAAAGAATCTGTATCACACTTGGAGCGTACTGCAATTACATGAATCAGACAAAATGTGGTGCTTAAAGTGAATTATACACCAAAACTTTGAGCATAACCTGATATGGAAGCCAAAAAATTAGTCCAGCCAGCTTTGCAAGGTGTGTCGCGTTCACTGTCGCAAAGCTGGCTCTCTTTTTACCTGGTTAGATCACCATGGTAACAATGCTCACTATGGTTATAAGCTGAACATATACCCTTGAGTTTCGGTTTAAAACTCAGCTTACAGCACCACATTTTCACAGATTTTCCAATTTTCAATATGATGAGTATGATACAGATTAGTTTTAGAGTATTAGTATGCAACTTGCTGAGCTGTATTTCATTGACATCACTGAAAAAAAATAGCATGTATTTATTTGATGATGGAGATAATGCATAAATATATTTTTATGCTTTATAAACATCTGCTCATACATCTGTTTTACAATTCAAGAACACAGATTATTCTATTTTACTTTAATGTTGACACAAAATAAAATAATTTCCACAACAGCCGTGACTGTTATGAACACCCTCATTTTGCAATAATGTGTTTTTAACCTTCTAAGACCTAAAGTGCACATTAGAAATATGTGCGCAAAGAAAGGCTCTTGCAGACACTCCACAGGTCAGGCTTGGTAGTCATGATTTGCAAGTGACTTGGATTAAAGTAAGGATGTGAGCGCCTCACTGTCTCGGATGAGCCCACCCTGGATCCAGTGTAGGACATAGTCAGAACAACTGGAGATACACCAGAATGCAGGAGGGCCAAAACCCCATTCTAGATATTCTGCCAGGGTTTACTTCCCTTGCCTCTTGGGAGCAGTGCCATTTATCCACAACTGGGGTAATATATATTAACTTCTCTCTTGTCCTATTTGCACAACCAGTGATGCATTTTGCCACTTTATTTTTAGTATTCTTTCTAGATCTTTATCCCACACTCATCTAACAACATCTGACTTTAGTAGCCATCGCTTCATTGGTCAAGAGGAATGAAATTTATTCTGGCTAAATCATCACTGCGATCTTCATTATCTCTGACTGGGTTTTCAGGTTTTGTCAAGCCAGGTAACAAGAAAGCTGAACTTGATTCAAATGGCACTTTTGTGTCACCTTTATGACACTAAGAAGTGTTACATACAGATGTGACACGTTTAAATAAAAGCCACTAAGGAAGGAAAATAACAAAAAATAAATACCAACTTTTTCATGATCTGGATCTCTCTGCCCCATCTGTCCCTATTCCTTGGTGTAAGCTCCAGGCGACACATTTTTATAGCCAGTTTTTCGTGTGTTTGCTGCAAAACAGACAGCAGACACCACATTATTATACAAATACAGTCAAGGAAAAGCAGGTGGTGATTACTTCAAAACAGGCCATTTCAATTTCCAGCACCCATATCCTCCTTTCCTAAGTTACGTATAGGGTTAGGAACTCTCCTGGCTGGACACTCACCATATGCTGATAGAGGTAAACATGGGCAAAGCCTCCCATGCCCAGCCTCTCTTTCAGTTCCCAGTCCCCCAAGTTCTGGTTCTGCCTGAAGGGAGGTCTCTCCATTGTTGTTCACGAAGCCTGTACCGGAGTGTGGGAATTATATTTGAGTCACGCGACAGAAACACAGCAGACCCTGTCAGTTTATTAAGTGACTGCGCTGTTTGGATTATCACATAAACCTATCAAACACAGGGGCAGGGCTACATACTGGAATGGCTGCTAGGCTAATGTCAGCTCGATGATTTAGCAGGAAAAACGCTACCACTGACGTTTTGTGGCAGTGTGACACAAGTGGGCTGCCTACTCATAGACAAGACATACCCAACTCAATATACCAGACAACAAGATACACATTTGTTTTTCATATTTGTCAACAAACAAGCAGCTAGCTAACAGCATAGCCAGCCAGCCAGCCAACGGTAGCCCTACTAGGAAATAGACGGAGCCGGTTATTAGCTTCCTTGCGTTAGAATATGAAGGCTTCTCGGCGCTTTTTGACACTTACCTGTGGTTTCTATGGAAGTGTCATGAGCCGTGTGCAGTAGAAAGGTGTAACTGGAGTGTGTCTTGTTTTCAGGTCAACGCAGCACCGCGACACTGGACTTCCCCACATAAACGTCACCAGAAAGCCCGGCTGTGTCTCTTGAAAATGAAACGAGGGTGCGTTCAAAAACACAACGCCCACTGCGTTCAAAACACTGTCAAGACTGTGTAAAAGCGGCATTGTGTTTATTTTAAGTCGTGTGTTTTTATTCTGGGGTCCAATAGAGTTTTGTTGATTCATAGTTAAACAAAATACATATTTATACTGCCCCAGAGTCTGCTATGCAGCTCCCCCTGTCCAGCATCTCCCCGAACAGCTCCTGGCTCTTAAAGCCCGCCCCATTAATGTCCACTTTTTCCTGATTGGCAGATTTTGCGGAAGCCTACAGTGGAGTGCTTGTGAAATTACTTTTAAAATAATACTGCCATATTGGTCATTCTTCCAGTTATATTAGCTGACTACTGATACATGTGCAAGGTGTTCATTAGTCTGATCTCAAATGATCTGTGACCAAAATCTCTGAGTTACGTTTTTTAGCACTAGAAAGGTGTCTGGTAAGAATATACAACCAATGAAGGTTGGATGGACAGAAACATTGTGATTTAATAAATATTCCAGCTGTAAGTGAGACAGTTGTTTTATGAGGCTTACACCTGGTGCCAGAACTAAAACCTGACATAAACCCAGGCAGGTCCAGCTGTGGCTGTGTGACCAGTCTTATTCTCCCAGCCGTTCTTTGGACCACACATGAAGGACGGTTTTCTTTATTTTGTTTTATTTTTGTGTATATGAGGATTTTTTTGTTTGTTTTTTGCGTATGTTACTGGGTCAGACCCAATCTGCTTTGTGAGTAAGCTGAGGACACTCAGATTCCTCAGCTGCAGAATTAAAACATTAATTTGAATCTTGTGCATTAGAGTGGAACTTGGACCAAAATGGCAAACTCCCCCAAGAGCCCCAAATGTGTACTTTGTGACCAGCTGGTTTTAATAACACTTAAACCCCTGTGAAAAGAGGGGTTGCATAGACTGTTAATAAAAGATGGCAACTGGCTAGATTTTTCAGTCATTTTCCCCTGGAGATGTGTTAATAGAGGCAAAAAACAGTACATTTTAGCTGATAACAGTATAATCAGCTCCTTGTGCACACCAGCGATGGATCTAATACCATAATTAAGATAAAAAGTACATCAACATAAACTCTACTCATTGTGTAAAAGAATCACCTGTTTTAGTGCTGTATTATATTAATGGGTCATTCAAACTCATATATTAACATGTACGCTGTCTTTTAATACTGCAGCTGGTCAAGGTGGAGCAAATTTTTAAAGCACTCTATTTTATAAGCACATGTTTTTGAAGTCTCACATGTGAAATTTGTACAGAAGCATTCAACTAATGCACACGACTAAAGCGCTTAAGTACGGCACTTTACATTCCACGCAATGATGTTCACACGTGCAGTAAACCTTTCAAAACACTTTTATTTTATCTCCTATGCTTCTCAAAGTGAGAAGCTCACAAACAACATTTCCTTGGTGAGTTATAACAAGGCAGTGACACATGTAGCTCACTGTATGTATAGCATAAAATGAACATCGCCTTATCTGCACCAGTCTAAAAAACACTGAGACGGATCAGACCAGACCTCTACATGTAAAAAGATTCGTATGAGCTGGCTCAAGTCTCTAAAACACGACAGCATACAACAGCATTAAATATAGCCATTCCCTTCATTCACATTGATTAAAAACAAAAAGAGAGAAATGACCATGAGCTCAAGGACAGGAAAAAATGCTGACCTACCTTATATATTAAGCCTTCTTTTAATACTCTAATCATAATATAAATGAAAGCAGGCCGTAATATCTCATGCTTTATTTACATTCAGAAATGAGGCTGTGATGTACAAGTGCACGCTGAAGAGACAGTTTGAGCTGCAGATATCCTACGTCTGTGAACACGGTGCAACACTTTGACATGAGTATCACGCAGGCGTCATCAAGGGGAACCAGGCATTTCTATGCTAACCAGTGCCATGGAGGACCAGCTGCTGCTCTGTGATGTATGTGAGTGGTGAGAACACATGGAGAGAGGCGGTGGGAAGGGGAAAACTTTGAGATACAGTGAAGACTCTAAACTTCTTTAAATCTGTACTGCATATAAAGCCACAGACGATTAAGTGACTGCTCTCGCTGTTGTTGGTTTGGCTTTGGCACTTTATGGATCGCACTTCAGTGCAGCTCTTTATATCCCCCAAACAGTCGGTTAATAAATGGTGAAACTGATCTGGCCACAGAGTTGGCAATAGTATGGAGGCTATGTGCACCGATAACTGCATTAACGATAGCAAAACACAGCAGCTGATAGAGGAGTTCGACCTCAGTAAAGTAACATTGAGCTAATATTTGAGGTCAAAGCTGGCCTAGGACACTCTTGTGAAAGAGATTTTATGAGTTTAAGATTCACCACCAACCGGTTGCAGCAGATAGCCGCCCCTCCCTATGCTCTTCTCCCTCTAAGTTTCTTCCTGTTAAAAGGGAGTTTTTCCTTGCCACGTTTGCCAGTTTTTCCTTTCCACTGTTGTTGTGATTTGGTACTATATAACTAACATCGAATCAAACCGAGTTTAATTCTTAGTTACCTTTCAACTATTAAACTCTTTTGAATGTCAGCACTGTTTTTGTTGATTGAATGAAAGGCTGCCCGGGTTAAGGCATCAGATGAGGCATGCAGCTGATATGTTGCTTGGTTAAGGGTTAATTTTGGTTTAAATCTGGTGCCAGAACCAGTTTAGGATCAGTTGGGTGACCGCCCAGGGCCCTGCTGCTCTAACAGGTCAAATCATGTTGTCATTTATATTTAAAAATATAAATGTTTTTGCATCGAGTCTGTGGAGCCCTAAAACTTGAAAAAGATGATATTTATTGTTATGTTGTGCAGACAGCAGTGCTGGATTACCAAAATTAGGTTGAATGGGCCACTGCCCCAAGAGTCCCCAAACCCACGAGCTTCCAGGTGTTTCATTATTATACTCATATATTGGAGAATTTGCACCATTAACAGGGTAATCTGGCCTCTAAGCAAAAAATGGAGAGCTTCTGATTGAATTTCTGATCAACCATTTGAGGGCATATCATAAAATATTAGCATAAAGGTACGAAAAAGCTATTGAAAACTCTTCCCTCTAAAACCCAAAGAGATTTCCAAAGCAGAAAATCCTCACATTTAAAAAGTGAAATTTCCTTCAGCTCTCCTGTTATTTGAGCCTAGACATCAGAAGCAGCAGTTGACAGAGAAAACAGAAATTTGAATACATCTTTATAAAAATAGCACAAAATTCATGTGCAGTTTGGCTGCTTGTTATGAGACACGTACGATGTCAACACAGACTCACACACAAAAAACATTTACTTTTAGGGTAACATAGATAACAGTTTCTTGTGTATGCAATAACAAGAGATGTAGGTTTTCAAGATAAAATCTGACAAGTGTTTTCACATTTTATCTGTGTAGACCTATTATGCTTTTCCTTATTTACTGTTATTTATATTCTGTTTGAATGATAGATGCTCATATCAAACACGGACATAGTTTCAAAATATTTCGGCCATTATTTGTATAAATCAACCAAATCCAAAGTGGCTGCTGATACTCTTAACTCTGTGATTCCTAATGAGGTGATCTGAGCACAGAAGCCCCGCCCACCTGCTGTGGCATAAAGTGTTACGACAGGCAACCAATAAGGAGGAAGGTATCCTTTGTCTAAAACTGTTTTATTTTCAGACAGAAGATGCCTTCCTCCCCAAGGGCCCAGTATCAGCTAAACCAGGATTATTGTTGAGCTCTGGATCATGCAAAGCTACGCTAGTTAAGTCTAAGACTGAAGATATATAGCTTTAAATGAGCAGAATAGGTCAGTGTTAAGGTACTCATTGTAAGTCTGGCTGCTTATTGACAGTTTGGCCACATAACAGACAGCAAACATTACTAATAACACACAAGTATAAAGTCTGTAAAGTTACACGAAATGTACAGGAGGTCAGTTATGGCAACAATATACACATAAAACCTTTTAATACCACCAGCGCGCAAAGGTGCAGACAAGAGAAGCAGGCAATGAGCTTTAAATGAAATAAGCTGCTGAAAATTGGGCATAAATGTCTTTAAACTGCTTCTTCTGTCTTACAAAAAGCCCCCAAAGCAAGTAAAAGTGTCACATAAGACAAAGAAAAGACATAAAGGCTGATGACTTCTGGGGAGGATGCTGCCTTAAAATGACTCACATGACAGTCAATAACCAAAAATTCTGGGTAGATTCAGCTTTACGCTGCAGGTATCTACATGATTAACAGACTTACACCGTGACACGCTCAGGTTTTCTGAACTATTTAACTTCTGAATAGCCTGAATATTCAATCATCTGTTCTAGAAACTGTACAGCTTTAAACAACACATTTGGCGCTGGATAAAAGTCAGATGGTCTGGAAGGCTCTCTGCAGCCTTTCACATAAGCACACACTCCCAAAACACACTCAGACTTGACATCCGTAGTTACAATACAAACAGGTCCTATCTCATTTAGCCCTGCAATACCCGCCCCCACCAACCTGCTCAGGCGAGCGGGTGACGCCGTGCATATTCACTGCAGGTGCAGCAGGTGTGATTATGGCTGAAAGAACATGGGTGAATGCTGACAGCTCTCCCTGCTGGTTGGACGCTGGCACTGCAGCTGCTCAAGGTGTCGTTTTAAAGCCTGAGTAATAAATGGCTGTGCATTAATAATGCTATGAAGTGTATATGGCTACCAAACATTATGTGGTTCCATAATTAGATCAGTCCGCCCACACACAAACACATAATCACACTCACTCCTGAATAAGGAGTTTCTTTGTCTTCTTCTTTTTTACATTCTGTTTTCATTCTTTTTTCCATGCATCTTTTACAACAGTATCAGCCCTGATCCAGTTTGAATCGTGCCATTAGCTCATGGCAAACAATGAGACATTATAAGAGAGAGAAGCCGTGGCACTCAGAGTCCCCGGAGAGATACGAGCCAATCGTTTTGTTGCATCACACATATTAACGGTAAAGTTTTGCTGCTGTTTCAGCTGTATCCTGGCAGGAGGTTTATCTTCTATGTATTGTAGAAAAATGTGTGAGCACTTGCAGTGCTATTCAGTGCTCTGTTAGGATAATCAAAGACTTTTGTTTTTGTTTTTGCACTTTTGGATTGAGCCCTTTTTGAAGTGAAGTGTAAAGTCGCCAAACTTTTGAAGCATTTTTTCAAAATGAGATTTGACTAAATATCCAGTTTTTCTGTCTCTGTGACGCAATTATTAAATTTAAAGCCCTTTATCCTTTCATTTAGATTGCAGAGCTGATCTGGGGGAGTTATTCCACTTTCTGTTAATACTCCTGTAGAGAAATTTGATGCGATTCAGGAAGGAATGCAGAAGGGGCACTCTTGAGAAAGTCCTTAATGAATTAGAGGTAAAATTAATATGTACACTTGCTTCTAGACAAAGGAAAATACAAAACACACTTCTTTTAGTTTTTAGAAATATAGTACAGATAACATGTCTGCAAATAAAATATGCTTCCAATTTATTTTTCCAGAAAGACTAAAACTGTCAATTAACTGCTGACATTTTGCTAACGCATGCTGATTGGTGGGACAAGGATTCACCACAGACACGCTGCAGTCACTCTAGTCTGACGGCACCCATTTTAGAGGCTTCCTGTTTGAAATCAAATTCACAGATTCCATAAAGTGACTCAGGGTAGTTTTTACATCTCTAATAAAAAAAAAATAATAAGATAAAAATAGTAAAAAACTGAACTATAGATTAATCTCTTCTTTCAAAAACATAACAATAACAAATGTTTACACCACAAAATTTGCTGTTTTGGCCTCCGTAGATCCCCAATCATCATGGATTATCTCACAAGTGCCCCTATGAAACAGGAAGTGCAGAGACTATGAGTTCAAGTATTTAGAAGATCTTTGGATCTGCAAAATTTCATCGGTGTTGTGGCGAGTTTATCTACCGTACTCTTCATCGTAGAAAAGAGGAGAGTACTTTTCTTGGCTTATGGTATTGACAGCGTAAGTCTATGGTGGGTTAAACAGAGATGTTAACAGTGTTGGGTAGAAGGAGTGTAACTGTTAAACCTAATATTTTGACCGGTTTCTTTAAAAGTCCAGTTGATGCGTCTCAGAGACCACTAAATCAGAGTTAAGGCTCTCTCCCTAATTCATTTTATTTGGGGGGATTAATTAAACTGCCCGGGGGGGTGTTACCAAGCTGGCTGCTGACTCTCAAAGAACCTCGAGCATGATCTGTCTTTGGAGTAGTTCCCACTGGAGCTTAAATCCTCACAAGAATTTTCTTTTTACACTAAAATCCTGCAAAAAACTCCCCCTTACTAATCTTTGATAGACTTATTTTGATAATATTCATAAAGTTTGTAAGAAAAAATAAAATAATGTGATTACCAAGTAGCGATTTCCAGACTTGTGTGTGTGTATACCCAATGCAGCTTCTCATGAGTGTGCTGAATATATTGTAAATATACTGTCATATATACTACAATATATGGTGCGTTATATACAACATATCCTGGATGTTTACAAAGAGATATTTCATCATACACTTGACATACACATGAAGTTCAACACCAACAAATGACTGTAAAATACTGTAAAAATATCGAAAAACAAAGAACATTCAGGGTCTGTCCAGTGAGTCGGGTTTATAAGTACAGATGAAGATTACACGTGTTGGGTATGGCACTGGCATGAGGAGAGTGACTGAACGAACCTGCTCCCCACCCCTCACCGAGAGCAGCTTCTCCGCTCTCAGATTTTTGCCTTCAAAGTAGTAAAAAGCCCTAAAAGAAGCAGTGCTGGATGCAGGCATGCGGATCACTGCAGAAAACAACATTCGGCCAAGAAAGAGAACATAAGCACATCACAGGACAGAAGCAAAAAGCAAGAGATGCTCGAGTTCAAGTAGAGCAAAAAAAAAAAGAAAAAGACCTCTTTCTCTTTGTGTCATGCAGTGTTCGGCTGCATATCAGGAGGACTGTGAACTCCTGCTGACGTCGTCACCTCTAGTTGGCCGTCAGCGGCTAGAGAAAGGAGGAAAGACGAGCTGTACGCAGCGGCCACGTCGCATACTGCAGCCACACACTTATTTAACTGGGAACCACCTTCAGCGAAACATACAGGAGCTGAAAGCTGGAATTTGCAGCTCCTGTGTGGAATGTGAACACACCGTGGTGGAAAAAAAAGGAGCTGGAATGTAATGGCTCCGTAGACCTGGTGATGTTTCCTAAGTTTTTTGTTTTTTTTTAATTATTATTACAGCGCTTCACCTCAAGAGCAGCGGCAGAAATTCAACAGAAATCAAATCATCAGTCGTCTATAATGTGATGACAATTCAAAGTGTGTGTAAACATGTTTGGTCCCAAAAAACGGAGTGTAAGGTCAAGAAAAAAGGTGTGAGAACGCGGCCGGAGGTGCCTTGAAAGAACAAAAGGGGAAGAAAAAAGGAAAGGATGCTGGATGTAGGTCCCTGTGCGCTGCCCCGTCCGATCCGTAAGCAGCCTCTCTGCCTCACAGTCTGCTGCGGCACCCAGCGTACGTTCTCAAAGACACCTCGTCTGCAGATCCGTGACCTCCCAGCGCTCCCTCCCACCTCCTGCACTAGCCTGTCTGCCAGTCACAGGATCTGCACCTCCTCGGTTAGATGAGAAGATTGGGGTGCCGGGTAGGGCCTCGTGTTTTGGGGGAAGGCGTGGGTTAGACCCTCACTCCTGCTCCCCCCTTCAAGCAGAGCTCCAAACAAAACCTCTGCAGGGAGACAGCCTGCCGCTGGCAGTGCAACGCCGTGCCGCTCCCGGCGCCCCCGCCTCGTCTCACTTCTTGACGGCCTGTCGGTAGCTGTGTCTCTGGCCTTCCTGCCGCTGCTTGCTGCTGCAGCCGCTGGCTTTGCTGCTGTTGCCGCCGTCCCTGGTGCTGCTGGCCAGGCTGGCCTGGCTGCTGTCCTGCAGCGTGGGGCTGGAGTGAGCCCTCTGCAGCCCGTTGTCCTCCAGAAGCTGAGACTCGAATACAGACAGGTCTTCCTCGCCGCTTCGGATTTTAGCTCGCAGCAACATGACGTAGGTCCCGTACCGCGTTTTCTATAAAAAAAGAAAAGAAGAAAATCTAAATTTAAGGCGAGACAGTTTCATGTAAATACTCGATTCCTCATTCGTGAATCCAGCTCACCTCAAAGTCCAGGTACTCATCTCGCTGGCGGTATTCTTCCAGCTCGCGTCCTTTCACCTTGCGGTCAGGTGGATAAGAGCGCAGCTCAGCCAGTTCAGTGGAGATGGCTCTGAATCGAGCTTCATGGGACCTGACCTGCTCCTCCTGAGAGCACAGAGTTAAAACCAAGATTATGAGAGGAAAAACTTAAAACCCTGACCCAGAGGTGGAACTGATTTCCTGGTTGAGCATTTTATTGGCATGGTTTGGGTCTACTTGTATTTTTTTCTATTGCCACCGTAAAACAAGGGAACTGCTTTCATACCCCTGTTGTTTCTCACAGACAGTAATTATAAAGTTACGTTTTCCACCTGTGAAAGGTGAAGACAGCGTACAGTCTGCTCCTGTATTTGTGAACTAAGGTTTAACTAAGAGACCATGTGACTCCACGTGGAGTTCTTAAGCTTTTGTACAATCAGACTTTTCTTTTTCTACAACTTCAAGAGTCGCCCCCTGCTGGTCATTAATGGAGGCTTAGGCCACTTTAAACCACTTAAACAGAAGCTACGCCCATCTTTTATTTACTTTGATATACTCAGAGTGGAATCAGCCACCTGTCAGACTCATTAAAGTTAGGATACCTCGGACAGTTTCGACATCGTCCCCGGCAGGAGTGGCCGGCTGAACTTCTTCTGCGAGCCGATGGCTGCTGGAAAAGGAGGAGATGAGAACATGGCGGCCACTGTGTTGATCCGTGTGATCCAAGACTGCATCTGCTCCGCGTTCCTGAGATGATTAACACAGACGCACACACACGATTAATTACAAACTCCAAAACACATACAGTACAAATGCTTCTCCACTGCGATGCCCGCTCACATCCGCTCATGGCTGGTTTACAACATCAAAGGGATAATTATCAGAGAAAGCAGCGCTGCTGTTAACAAAGAAATTATTTTGGAGCCAATTAACAGATGAGAGAGAGAAAAAAGTCCTGTTTTACATTAACAGGCCCATTAAGAGCCCGAGTAATATCAGATCGAATCAGACAGCATCGCTTAAATCATCAGGGAGAGACGGGCGGAGAGAGAGACGAGGAGAGGAGAAAGGCGCAGAGAGGGGTACAGTATCTGGGACAAATGCAAGCTGCAACTGGAGCACAGAGCCGGTCCTCCTGGGGCCTGAAACATGTGGCCAATCATGTGCCACTTCCTGGATCCTGCTAAGACACACACACACAGACACACACCTTCACCTTCATCGCGCATCCTCTCCATGTATCACTAATCTGTAAGCACATGAGTGCTGCTGAGGGTGGACATTCAGCTGTTATCAGCAGCACTATATGGCCAGAAATATGTGGACACCATAGTATTGTGAACCGAAACAGCCTCTACTCATGCCATCGGTTCAATAACCCCAAATCCCAGCTTTGGTTTTGTAGGATGGTTGGATTTTACTGATTAATTTTAAAGTGCATCTGGGTCAGAGCAGAAATGTTGACTCCTTTTAAGCCAGTGCACAGCCTTATTCTTCAGGTGGATCTTTCTGTCTGTTCCAAAAGGCTGGGCAAGGGTGTAATCAGGGTCCCCGGCTTTAAAAGGACCTACCTGAGGAGCAAAGGCTTGAAGAATGATTTGCCTCATAAAACACACCTTTACTGACTTCTATTTTATGTGATACTGCATTTGAGTTTCCTTTTAATCATGTTTTATAGCCCTTTTTACCATTTATGTATTGTTTTCGATTGGCACTTATCTTCACTGTGCAGGGTTTGCGACACCTCTCGCACTATGGTAGCTGGAATAGACTCCAGAATTAATCACGTAAGTTCATGACTTTATGCAGTTCAGATTTCCACGTGACATGAAGTGAAACAGAACAAAGGCTGAAAGCAAGTTCAGGCTTGCAGCTTGAGCTGTGCTGTGTCACATACCAAACCTCCTCCCCCCTCTGGAATATCAGCGCAGCTCTTTGCTTGCATCGCTTCCTGCAGAGTCAACCCCTCCACCACCCCAACATCCACCAGTATCTGTTCATGTGGGCTCATGTAGTTAAAAACAGGGGTGTCCACATACTTTTGATTGTTCAGTGTAACATTGCCAGAGACGGCAAGTCAGCACTAAGAGAAGAGTGGAATAAAACATGGGTGTTTCTTATTTGTTCTTTTTTTTAGCTGTCTGAATTTTCTGCTCTGCTGCAGATGTTGCACAGCTGTCCACGCTGCTCAGCGTGGGAGCTATAAATCGTACAGCGTGTGCGTTTGTTCAAGCTCAGCGAGAAGAGCATAAAGAGACTCACGGCGCTTGGAAGAGATACACCCTCCAGTCCGCCGTCCGCAGGTAAAACACGTTGGGTCTCTTGCTGTAGTCTGAAGCTTTCATTGCCAGAGAGTGATGGATGGACACGGCGTTCTTCAGGTCATCATCAGAGAGCTGCTTATCGGGCCTGTACTCCCCCTGGAACGACAGGTATAAAGGAGAATGGTGTGTTGCGGTGCAAACGCTCATTAAAGATGCTGACTATGATCATATTTTATTGGAGGAGTGGGTGACGCTTATACACATTTACATGAAGCAACTGATATTGCTCTGAATGTGAGCTCTGTAGGCGTCTCTCATCAGGTTTTTTTTTTAATTTTAGAATAGAATAGAATAGAATAGAATAGAATAGAATAGCCTTTATTGTCATTGTACAGAGTACAACGAAATTGGAGTGCCACTCCCTTGGTGCAAGTTTCAATAATAAATATAAATGTAAAATATAAAAAGTACAAAAAAAACAATCGTAAGTACTCAAACAATAGTATGTACAATATATACAGGATAGCAGCATTAATATGATGACCGTATGAATAGCAGCATAATATAATGACAGTGACGATATGGAATAGGTTCAGTTTTATTAGTTTTATTATTTTATTAGTTTTATTAATTTTGAATTTTTAGTCTAGTTTTAATTAGTTTCTTGTTGTTTGTTGCAGCTATGCAGAGATCAGTGCCTCCTCAGGCAGGTTGTATTGACCTTATTATTATTATTAATACTTAAAGTAGTTATTTCCTACATATTTTTATTTATTATGGTTAGTTTTGCATGTACACAATCACCATTCGATTTAGTTTTGATTTTCTTTAAAGGTCTAGTTTTCTTTTCTTTTCTTTTTAAATTTCTGGTAAACAATATGTGTTTTAACTTTTAGTTTTAATTTTTTAAGTTTAGTTAATTATTAAAAAATCGTTCAACAGTAAGAATAAAAATATAAAATATATATTTGATACCTTATTTGAGTTGAAGATATTTTGGTTTCATGACAGACGTATACGTTTTCGTTAAGGAAGAACAAAGCTGTGGACATAAACTTCTCAAATTATTTTTAATTTGATAAAAAAGTTATTTTTTAAATATTACTTGACTCATACCTCAGCTAACTTTAAAGGCTTGAGTTTTGACAGTTCTCATATCTAAACTGAAGCACTAGTGGAAGATTTTTTTACCACGACAAAGTCTGAAACAATTTAATTTAACTTAAAAACATCTAAATTAATTATTTTGATTCGAATGCATACGTCTACAAATCACAGGGTAATCAATAACCAAAATATACTGACAAAGTTTCACGTTCTCCATTAAGTTTTTATTTGATAAAGCGGATCTCACAAAGGTTTATTAGATGTTATTGTATTTACTTATGCTCACATTCACCCCTACAGCCAACATTTACCCACCAGTTAAGCTAACATCCATGTTTCTAGGAGAACAAACAAACTCAATACCTGGCTGCTGGATTTGAGCCTGAAATCTTCTTGCTGTGGGTTTGAACCACCGCACCGCCCTAGGCCTAAACGTGCTAATGGATATTATTCCTCCACATCACATATGTGACCTTTATAAAAAGTAAATATTTCCACACTTTTAGTTCTATAACAATGGCATGAAAACATAATTAATAGCTCTGCATATAGCATAATTAGTCACATGTCAAAAAAGTGTTTAATTACAAGTTTATGTTATTGTCTAAAAAAATAATAACTCTATAAAGCATTATTATCACTTTGACCTTCAAATTAGTCTATTGATCTTGAAGGAGAGGTCAAAGGTCACTGTAAATCCTTACACAGGACTTGTGTTGACGACACACACCACAAGAATCATGAGCCTTGAATTAACCTTGAAGACCTTAGTGAAAAAACCTCCGTAAAAATAAAGTTCAGTTATTATTTTAGAGAACAGAGCCACAGCATCCCTACAGGCACAATTTTCTCTGCATTCAGGGGGAATTTGGAGCAGCAGTGGCCTGTTATGTTGGCAGAGGTTACCCAGGCCCACCGCCGCTCCGTATGGGTCCTCTGCACGGTGCCAAGGCCCGGCCTGCACGAGGACATTATGTCACAGCAACATGTATTCGTGTAAACAGGAAGTAGGCACCAAAACGTGACTCTAAAGGACAGATTGCTTCTTGAGCTGTCAGTGCAAAGCTGCTGCTTTTTTCATTGCTGATATTTTGCTTAAATAAATCAATAAATCATCTTAAGAGCTCGTTTGCAGGCAGGCAGGTAACATTTGGTGCAGAACTTTTTTGTTGTTGTTGGGTTTCTAAAGAGACGTTCACCGCAGGGATAAAGATCCACCTTCTGTTAAAAATCTGCTGCTGGCATGAAAGTAAGACAGGATGTTTATGGAGATGCAGTCAACCGTTCTTTAAAAGGTTGAATAATGAATATCAAACAGTGGCTGTTGCAAATTGTTTCTCACTCAGCCCTTTAGATTTTATTTATTTATTTAGTTAGTTTTTATAGCTAAACATATGTCTACTGTGTGAAACTTACTTTTTGCAGGTAGAGGATTAGCCCTTTAAGGATGGCATAGAAAGTCTTCCACCCTCTCTTCCCTCTCGGTGCTGCGAGGAGCAGAAAACATTAAATGTTAATTACAGACTTCCAGTCATAGATACAAAGTTACATCGTGCTCTTAGCTTTGCAGCACTAAGTCAGAGGTGCATCCAGGAAACCTTCAATCAAAACTGCACATGTAACCCAGTGTCGTCTGCTCCCAGATAGTCCACACATTAGGTTATAATCTGGGCCACTTATGGCACTTGATTTTGTTTCGTTGTTTGGGCTAGCTGTGGCCTAAAGGTCATGAGGTGGGCTCGACTTGAGTTACAGGAACTTTTGGGGAGAGCTGACACACCTAACATTTAACCCTTATACTGTGAACACACAACACAGAAAACTGCCAGTCTGGGGCACACTTGTTGCTATCTGTGTTGTAGTGGCTGTCCGCATAATTAAATCCAACACACAGACTTCCCTGCCAGAACATCACAGTTATCAGTCTCACATTCATCTGGTCTATTACTGACATATTTGAAAATCTTGTTTGTGCCACTCTCATAAACATCTTTATGACTGCGTGCTACAAAGTGCTTCATGCAACACGCCTCATTCACACCCATTCATGCAAGCCCGTTTTTCCATGCCTTTTCTTACTTGGTGATTTCTATCTAACATTCACACACATTGACACTCTGATGGATGCATCGGAGAGCATCCATCAAGGGTTATTATCCAGTCTGCGTGCCAAAGGATACTTGGCACGCAGACTGGAGCAGCCTGGGATTGAACCACAGCTCCAGCCACCCCACATTACCCACACTTAGCTGAAAGTAATGCACTCTAATCACTAATCTGTGATTTCCCTCAACTAAATCTGGTGTATAATTTATATATTATATTGTATTTTTGGTGTTTTTCACTGTAGTGAGAGGCCCCAGTCCTATCTCATCTCATATGGATTTGATTTGTGTTTTGAGGGCCCACCCATATTTGATTTGACCTATTTATCTAGTTTTAAATATTTTTAACCTTTATTTAACCAGAAAGTGACTGACCGAGTGCTCAGTGTTGAAATAGGTGGCATTACGCTAGCATATTATTAAATGGTGGGAGTAAGCAGAGATCCAGGAGAAAACCCAGGTAAACATAAAAGCCTCCTGCCGAGGCAAAGGTGCAAACTGCTGATATGTTGACATGTTTTAGTGCCTAGACCTAACCAATATCAGGTGCCTTCAACACAATTCAGAGAAGTTGATAGGGATGCAGGTGGACACAGCCATGACCTGCTGGATCACTGACAACTGTGATCTGACAGACATCTGCATCACCCGCAGAAATCCTCAGACTCTGTGGGGTGTGTCAACAGGGGTGAGGAGACTGGAAACTGGTGAACTCCACTGTTTTCGAGTGGTGCAGTAATAACAACCTCCTCCTGAAACGTAGCCTATATTAAAGAGATATGCCTCCAAAAATCTGCCACTAAGCTCTGCCAGATCCCTGCACTGAAAATGTAGCAGACTCTACTTTTTGAGGAAGTTTAGATGTTTTAATGTATGCAGTAAATTGTCATCAAACTGAGTGTTTTCAGCAGCAGGCTCATTCAACTCAGTAAGGTACAAAAAGACTAGTGTCTGTCCAGGTGGAGGACGCTTGCACTGGACAACGCACACCCTAATTCTCATGTTCACACTCTTCCCTACAGGGAGAGCCTAAACCTAACCAACTGGTTTTGGAGTGAAAACCTATCTAATGTGGAACCTGGTGCATCAAGGCACCAGCACCAACGACTAGCAGCAAAGTACATGCTTTGGGGGGAAATCGCACTTAAACGGAGGTCAATATTGGTTACTTTTTATGTATATATATTCATAATATGTGCAAATGATTTCATCTGATTGTGACTCATTAATGAAGCGAATAACGGAGGTCTTTGCTTTCTGTATTTCCTCAGATCAATTCATTGTTTTAAATTCAAATACCAGCCTAAATGTTGTTGAATAATAAAGCTTATTTTAAAGACATTTGAGTGATTAATGTGACATTTAATGCTGGTTGTTTTTCTTGGAATTAAAGCATTAAAATCCCAAATCCTCAGCATGTGTTAGTCTGTGCCGTTGAAGAAAAACCATCTCGCTTTGGAGTACAAACACTCCACACAGGATGTGCTCTACATGACATGACCTACAGTTTCACTTATGATGCTCTGGGCAGCAGCCAAATGTTTCAAAGCATTGTCTAAATCTGAACTTTGTAACTCGTACTTCTCTTTCCGTCTGAGTCGGCGTGGACTTTGCGAACCAGGAATCCGTTCTTGTACAGCAGCATTCCGGTGGGCTGCAACTCATCCGACAGGGGCTTCCCGCTGCTGCCTACCCTCTTCATCGATCTGGAGGAGTTGGAGTCACACAGGCTGTCCCCGAGCTCTGAAAACGACTTCCGCAGCTCTTCCTCATCCCTATGAGGAGAAAAAAAAACAGTTCAGACTCCATGGTGATCAACACTTATGTGTCATGTCTCATTAGCATCGCGAATAAACACATCATCATGCATCCTGTCCATTTGCCTCACACTCAGCACAGGACATGAGGTCCGGAGATTTCACACACGTACACATGAGTAATATCGCTGTCCGCTGCTGGTGTCTTGGCACAGCTTCTGCTCTTCAAGACATTTACAAAGCATCATCTCGCTGGGGGAAACCAGAGCGAACAAAGTTTTCTTCAAAGCTTTAATTGTGTGTTTTCCTCTCGCGTTCTCGCTGTGCTCCTGTTCTCCTCAGAACAGAAGTCCACTCTCCTTGATCAAAAAATACCACAGGAAAAGAGTGACACCATCTATCTTGCTCCTGCTTTGAGGTGAAAAACAGGGGCATCTTTACCCAGAGGGACAGCTGCTCTCAGAGATGCCGACACATCACACAGAGGATGCTACAAAACGCTGAGGCTTTAAAGGCTCCTCAAAAAGCTAAGAAAGCATAAACCCTTATTCTGTTTTTAAAATGTAAAAATCTCATCAAGCTGCAAAGTCATTCAAATTCAAGATTGAGCATCAAAGATTTTTTTACACTTAATCTCTGGAAGACTGCATCTTTGTTCTTAAAAAAAAAAGATTTTCATTCAGTTTTTGCTGTTTAGTATTATTCATATCACCCTATTGTTTGGCTGAAAACACCCTTAAATAACAGATTTCTTTTCAATCAGTTAAAAATAAATGTTAGTGCAAAATATTTAACAAATAATTACGTTAAGAAACTGAAGTTTCCTTGCTATACAAGTCTGAGAACAATTTTTCTGTTACTAAAAATAAAATTCCAATTGTATCATTCTTCTTCTTCTTTTTCAAACTGTATTTAAAAGATGACCCTAGTGGTGTCACTCACTGATGTCAGCAACTTCAAGTCTCAGCATCAGCATTTTACCTGCTGCCAAGCTGAAGTTGGAGCTAATTAGCTTGCTTTTCAAATTGCATCCATGAACTGTAAAACAAAGAGGGAAGAAATATCTGGTATTTTTGTCACAGACCAAAAAAACTACACATATGCACTCATTAAAATGAGAATACAGACTTTTTGGACTGATCTCTGCCACACAGCAGCCATATTTCTTGTTAGATAACTGCTATAAAACTGTTAGATATGTTGGGTTTTCTCTTTCATCCCTCCCTTGTGTCCCTTTGCATGTTTTTCTTCCTCCTCTCGCTGCACAGATCAGCTGTTTTCCTACTAAGTCACACACAACTTTCCTCTAAGATCGTGGGCTGTTTGTTATCTTTGCACTCCCTCTCACCCACAACCCCTTTCCAATTAGTTTTCTTTCTTTTTTACTGCTTCTGCACCTTCTGTCATTACACAATCATTATTTCATCTGCACGATCACGCAGATACGCACTACAGCCTCACAGTGCACACAGACATAAAGGACTCACACACACACACACACACACACAGGTGTGCACATATAATAATATCGCTCATATAAGTTAATGTGCACACGTGATCACACAACACCAAGCACCACTCGGATCTATGTATTTGCACTTTAATGGAAACTCTCACCACACACTTTCTTACACCCAATGGAAGTGTGTTTTTTCTCATTCACACACAGCGCTCAACATTAGCTACACACACACACACAACTATGGGCACACTAAGGTTTATCACATGGAATGTGCATGGTGCTGGCTCCATGTGACCTCAGGCAGATATTATTTTATTACAAGAGACTCATAGACCTGTCACAGCTACAGATGTGCTCTCAGCCTGCTATAACCCCAGGCAAAGGGGAGGAGCAATTTTAATACATAAAAATGCTAATTTTACAATCACAGGGTAGATTTCTAATAGTTACATCATTTATAGGTAGCAAAAAGTTTTGTTCTGTCAGTGTATATGGCCCAAATGTTCATGACCCCTCGTTCTTCCACGCTTTTTTTAGTGCACTCTCTGAATACCAAGGTTGCTCATTTGTTCTCAGGGCCGACCTCAATTTTGGACTAAATGAAGAAATGCAGGAACAGCTCTGTTGGCAATCCACAAATATAATTAAACAGTACGTGTGCGATTTCGGACTTTGAGATGCATGGTGTTTCCTTCATCCTTCACCGTAAGGAATATACTTTCTACTCTCGTCTTGATTATTTCCTAGTCAGCAGCTCACTGCTGAGTGACACTTCAGGCACTGAGATAAACCCTATAGCAGAGATCATGCTCCTGTGTTTTTTTTTAATTCAAATAAATAAAGAGGTCACCAAGTAAAAACTAGAGATTTAAAGATGAAGGTTTTATTAAATATTTTTAAAAAGAGTACGCTTTATATTTAGACTGCCTGCAACATCAGCATCTGTTCTCTGGGAAGCAGGGGAAGCTGTGATGAGAGGTAAAATAATTTCATTCACATCATAAAAAAGAAAAGAGAAAACAAATATATTCAGGAATGAAAAGAAATCATCAAATCCTTAGAAGAAGCATACGTGTTGTCGCAAAATATGTAAAGCAACACTAGACTTAAATGAAATTTCTAGCTAACCAGTTAAAACTAAAGAAAGATTGAATAAAAACTTAAACTGGGTCTGGGAAAACAGTATATGTGTCACGGTCCTGGGTCGTTTAACCCAGTGCTTTGAGCTTTCTTATATTTTGATATTCATTGTTTATGTTTAAGTCTTAGTTATCTTAAGCTTGTTTTATTTTGCCTGGGTTGCCCTGTTATAGATCATTGTTTATTAGATTCCCCGTGTTTAAGTCTCCCTCACCTTTCATGTGTCATCAGGTTCGCGATGCCATGTCTGCATCTCGTTATGTTTCCTGTTTTATTTTGAAGAGGCTGGTTGTCCCATGTTCATTGTGCTTAGTTTCACTTCCCCTGTGGCGTCATTATGTTCATTCCAGTCAGTCTGCTTCCCCGTGTGTTTCCACTTCCCCTGATCACCTCCTGTGTGTATTTAGTCTGTGTGTTTTCATTCATTCCTTGTCTGGTCGACAACATAACGCTTCTGAAATCATCAGATCAAACGCTAGCATTGGATTCACTGCTGACATCAGGTGAACTCCAGGAAGCCCTGAAAAGTATGCCCAATAATAAGGCTCCAGGTGCAGATGGATTTCTAGCAGAGGTCTATTCTGGACAATTCTGGCAGCAGTATTCTGAAGAACATCGCAGGAAATCAAGGAACATGGCGGACTACCACCAAATATGAATTCTGCCAACACTAGTCTCCTGCTAAAACCAGGCAAAGACCCTGTATTTCCCACCAGCTGTCGCCCAAACCCTTTATTAACGTTGACCTTAAAAGAGTCTGGACAGCACTCTCAAAGAGATTAGAGACATAACCCCCCTCATAATACATCCTGACCAAACCGGTTTCATAAAAGGTAGGCACTTATCAACAAGTACACCTAGATTACTTAATCTGATAGACTGTTCATGTAATAAAAGCACTGAAACTACAATATTGTCTCTAGATGCAGAACATCCTCCAGCTTCTGTCTTCAAAGGGGCACCAGGCTCTGCTTCACTGTTAGCATAAAATGCAAGAACGTAGATAAGTAATAATAAATCTATATTTGGATGATGTGTTACTTTTTCTTCAGGATTCACAAACCACTTTCTCTGAGAAAATGACATTAATAAACTCTTTCTAAAGAGTTTCAGATTATTCGATGAATTAAACATTGAGGGGCTGTGCTGACGGCAGCTGTGGGTCGTCTGCACCATGCCGCCGCCCCTCACTTTGCCCTTTTTCCGTCCCCCGGTCTTGTCCGTTACGGTTGTAATAATACAAAGTACAAAATCCTATTAAAGTTCCAATAAAATATGACAATTATAACAAATGCCAGGCTTGTAAACATATTTATTTCTGCTGTAAATTTGGGCCCTTTAACACTGGAGTCTATAGAGACTTCCTACAGGAACCAGCCTGAGCTGCAGGTTTTGGTGCTACCAGCCTCGTTTGTCAGACATTGATTCTGTTGTTTGACCTCCTATTGCTGTTACTACTTTGATCGTTTTCAGTTAGAGGTTTGGTCCATATTTCTCTAGTCCACATTACTATATGTTTATTATTGCCAAGGATGAAAGCAAAGGGTCTCTTGCCTCTTGCTGCCCTACAGAACTCACTGAAGCCCATTGGGGTATACACATACTCATAGAACTGGGGTTACATCAGTAACAACGACTTTTCTAGCGGCACTTTTATGCAGAATATTTTCCCATGGCCGTCATTCCCAAATGGACAGCTTATAATATCTCAAGCACACATTTAAATTGGAACCATTTTCCATATAAATAACCCGTCTTTTCATTTAACTGCTCATGTTACTTTAATGAAGTTTTAATAATTATTATTATTTAATAATAATTTTCATCCAAACCTTTAGAAACACCTCAAATGTAGACCAAATTTATTGTAAAACTGGAAGCACTGTGTTGTCTCAGAGTGTTGTATCATACACCAGGCTTACTCCACCCTTTATTAAAATGAGTTTATGGGCTCGGAGTGTTTTTGGTGGATTTGAAGTTTTGGTGCAGGGTGCACATCGCTCATTAGGAACAGGCCTTGAGGAGCCATCTCTGTAAATGAGAAACCTGAGAAGCTGCTGAGTCGTCGACTGCAGCTTCATTTCTTTCTAACTACCCTCGTGTGAAATGTGTTTCTGAGCGCTGAACTTCCCAGAAAAAAAAGAGTCTCAGTCTGATTAACAACTGAACTCTTCACCCAAAAAGATCAGGTCTGTTTACTACCCACCAACCTTTTTTAAAATGTGTTATTTGGTTTTCTTTTACTGCTTTAAGACATTTTTCTGTTTCATTTTATTTTCTAATCTACTTTTTTCATGTATACCTCTTTTCTTTTAAACATACTGTATTTATGTTTGTATTTACTTATGTTCCAGTTAAACAAATAGTATATAGTCTGTATCGTCTTTCCTATATTTAAAAAAAAAATAATTTATTC